CTTGATCGATTCTTGATGGAAGAATTGAAGAAGAAGAAACTTGTTGAAATTTTGTTGCTCGATTCTTCATAGTTGCGTACAAATTACGATGTATAAAATGTATGTATGAAACAGCCTATGTGGGTGCAAGATTCCTACTACACCCTTTAATCCACTTAAAAAAAGTATGTATGAAACAGCCTATAAAATGTATGTATGTATGTATGAAACAGCCTTGTTTGAAACAGCCTATGTTTTTCCTTATCAACTTATTATAAGTTAGAATTATAAGTTAAGAATGATTTAACTTCTTTAAAAACTTTTTATTACCATTTTGACATCGGTATAAGTTGTTTATCCAAACACTTAAAAATACTTATTGTACTGGTGTCACGTTAGAATAAGTCAATAAGTTTTTTTTGATAAACAAATCTAAACACCCCTAAGGATGGATGTGTAATTATTTCTAGTTGTGAATCGTATTTCTTTAATAAAATTCATGTAACATATTTTGATATTTATTTAAGCCCTTTATATATTTAATATATTGATTAGTATATATTTGTTTCGTATTGTATTCATCTCATAATATGAATTTTTTTATGCGTATTTTTTGTTTCACGAATATGTTAAAAAAGTTGTACACGATAAACAAACATATCGTAAAACTATATGAAATAAAATGATGTATTAGATGACCGCTTAAATAATAATGCTTAGGTCTTCGTTGATAATGGATGTGAGAAATCGAACCAATCCAATCATACGTTAACATTAGACAACTGATTCAATCCAATTAACATTGGACATCCGATCCAATCCAATTAACATTGGATAACCGATTCTCTCCAATTCAGTAGATGATTGGATCTTCTTATGGATATTCATTGGATCAGATAACCAACATCCAATGGATGATCGGATCAGATTTGAAAATAAATACTTTTTTATTTCCAGTTTTAATTTATATACAAATAATGTTATGTTAATCATTAGTTCCATGGGTAGTTGGATGATGACTGGATGAGTTGTTAGATGATAATTGAATGGGACGTTGGATGATATTTGATGGATAGTTGGACTGTCATCCAAGAACCGACCGATACAAATTGATGTTGAAATTTTTGATCTGATCTAATCCAATTACAATTGGATATCCAATCATTATCGGTCGGTTTAGTTGAATTGATTGACTTTCTGGACACCTCTAATAGTGTTATTAACAGTGGTGGTTGTTACTATACCCATTTTCTTATAATATATGTTCTCATTTGTCATAGTAAATTAGTTTTCTTATTTATTATGATTGGTTATGTTAAAATTCCAATATAAATTTGTTTAAATAAAGATTTATATACCGTTTATCGATGTCACTTGCCTTTGGCCTGTAAACGCTTATCGGTAAGCGTTTTTATACTTTTTGTGGATCTAAGCAAATACACATCTTTGTTGTTTCAAATTTGTCATCCTTCATCCATCCATACACTTTTTTTTTCTTTATACATTGTGGGTGTTGCTGAAGAAATCGATCTTACGAGATACAGATATCATCTATCGTGGTTCGGGAGTTTGTACTTACCGTGACATAATAGCAATGTTGGCCATGGGGACAAGGGTCTTGACAAGGACTATTGTACAAAACTCCGTCTTGTAAAGGGGGCGGTAACAAGCTATGTGAAGCTTTTTTCATTGTCGTGGGCAAATTGACATTGATCGTCCTTTGGGCAATCGATAATCTTGCCATTTGTTACATGAGACTGATCGTTATAAACATTGATTGGTGTTAGTTTGATCATGGTATTGCAGGTGTGCCGCTTGGTTCTTCACCATTGACCACCCCTTTTTATAGGACCGAAGCTTGTAGAATAACCATAACCATGGCATTCTACATGTTTTGGTCTTGTGAAGAATTTGTTTAGTGGTAAAGAACCGACCTCGATACTAAGTGCAAAATGACTATGATTACAGTGTGGATAATCATCAGTCTCATGCAACAAGTGGCAAGACTTTTTTGACTACCCATATGATGATCGATGCCAGTTTGCACACGACATCAAGAAGCTTCACGTAGTTCACTGTCACACCCTTTACCATACAAAGTTTGTAAATAATTCTTGTGGGGACCCTTGTCTTTGTGGCCCACGTTGTTATGCAGTTACATGTAAGGACAAACTCGTGAGCCACAATAAATAGTATCTCTATCTCTATCTCTATCTGATATGCTTTTTCTTCTGACGACCCTCCACCAAGTAAAATAATTTTTTTATATGAGTGTGCAAAGAATGATAAAATTGAAACGAATTTATTATGTCAGTGTATAAAGAATGATTGTTCTTCCTCTGTCGGTTTGTGTGTATCGGGATTCACTTGAACTTTATGAATTTGAGCTTTCAGATATTTCAATGCATTTGACAAAACGTATTCATGCAGTACAATAAGATTGGGCTTACAGGACGTCAAAAAAATTTAAGCTATCTAATAGACCATTTTATAAGACTTTATTTATATGATCAAAAAATAAAGTGTCATATATAAAGGCGTTATAATAAATTTATAAGATGTTTTTGGGCGTTGTAATAGGTTTTTTAGAATATTTTTATAAAAACGTCGAATTAGCTATTTTATTTGACATTTTTTGAAAAAGTGTCTTTTAAAAGTTAGGTTTATAGGACAATTTCTCAAGAGTGTTTTATGAAATAACTATGATGAGACGTTTTTTGTTAAAAATATCCTAAAAAAACTTGTTAAGACGTTTAAAAATGTCTTTAAATAAGACATTTTATTTTTTGGTCTTATAAATTAAGTCTTATAAAACAGTGTATTAAGACACTTAAAAATAGGATGAACCCAATAAATTTTCATAGGGTGGCACCATATAACATAGACAAAAATAATTACAAAAAGCACGTCTTTTATCGACGTGTTTTCATGTTTTTACTAATGTTCAATATTGTTTAATGTATTTTTAGCCTAATTCCTCTGTTTCGAGGGATTTTTAAAGGTTTTTGTTTGATTTCGAGGAAAATTTTAGTTTTTTTTTCCCGATTTCGAGGGATTTTTTTCGGTTTTTTTGGTTGATTTCAAGAGTTTTTTTTCCTTTTTTTGTCCATTTCAAAAGGTTTTTTTGATTGATTACGAGGTACAGTTAAACTTTCTTGAACTTTTGAATATTATACACCTTTCATAAATGTAAATTTTAAACCTTTCGACAGACAGATAATACGATGACACATGCCACCGTATGCGCTTGTATGGGTCCCTGGATGCTTAAAAATTGTTAACGTCATGAAAACCTAATTTTATTGTAGCCAATTTTCTTTGAATTTTTGTGTTAAACGAGATCAAATTTATTGAGAGAATGCAGAATTATAATAAATTTCCCTACTGTTGCGTTGTTGGCGAAGACCTCTCGTCTTCATTCATCGATCGATCCGACGGAAGCATATATCATGATTACACTATCTCTCCCTACTCGATTTTACCACCCGATGATCTGGTTAATCAAGTCTCCCTGATGCCAAATTCAACACCTCCGGTCATTGTGGATTACTTCTCCGATCATCCTCATGACTTGACGCAGTTTAAAGGCCTAATCGATAGCCATAACCGGTGTTTCTCCGATCTCCGTCATAACAACGAAGAACTAGAACCTTTCTCTCTAGAAAACCCAACCCTAGCGGATTTCGAACTCAACATGTTGTTGTCTCTCTTACAACAAGAAGCAGATTCAATTTATTGCCTATAAAACTATACCGATGCCACGCCGTCCCCATCGACCTGTTTTGTTACAGATTCTTTTCGATGGATAAAGATCAGAGACTAAGCGACTGCGGGCAAGAAATGAGCGGTGCAAAGGGCGGGAAGGATGTATGCATTAAGAAAACGAAGGGGGATCGTGTAAAGTTATCTTATTTATTATAATTGGTCAAGGAACAAGGGGGTGTTTGGAATTGCTTATAAAAACAATTTACTGACTTATTCCGGTGTGACACCGGTAATAAGCACTTTTGAGTGTTTGGATAAATAACTTATATCGGTGTCAAACCGGTAATAAGGAGTTTTTCAAGAAGTTAAATCATTCGGACTTATAATAAGCTGATAAGTGCTTTCATAAAAAATACAAGTTATTTCAAATAAGCAATCCCAAACACCTCCAAGAGTTTCAAGAAAGATATCAAAATTTCAATGGAAGATCGTTTAAATAAATATTTTTGGATGGCTTATCCCTGCGTACCAGATGTCCCTTGCGATACTGGGTGAGAATAATATGGACCAAGAATTTTACCATATAAATGATATAGAAAATGCTTACCAGGTAAGAGATGTTTACTAACAATCCATTATACTTGCTTAATAGATGGTCTTTGCAAAGATGGGAAACGTGTTGCTGGAAAAGATGGAAGCATATGGTTGCAGTCCAGAGACTGAAGCTTATAATGGAATCATATCTTGTTTTTTCCAAAAAGGAATCGATTACGTGACGCACAAGGATTATTTCAAAAAATGGTACGGAAAAAGGTTTTTCCAGATCTGATTGCCCACACAGCTTTAGTTGATGGGTTGTGTCGAAATGGTAATGTTGGTCTTGCATTCAAGGAGTTGGATGAAATGAAGAAGAAGATGAATTGTACGCTGAATTTGGTCCTTCATGGCTCACTCACTTATGGATTATGTTCGGAAGGCCGGGCTGATGAAGCGAAGATGTTGCTTGAAGAAATGGGTATGCATCACTAAACCGAGTGGATGATGCATTTTCAATTCGAACCCAAATACAGTACTTCTCGAGTCTTGAAGGTGCTAGAAAACGAAGCACCGAGCTCAAAGGTGAGGTTTGCTGCTAATAAACTTTAGATAAAATGTCGGAATATGGATGTGAACCATCGTTTACCCTTTTAGTGTTTGCTAAACGGCCCCTTTGTAGGCCATTTCTATTGTAAATGTTCAAATACTATTGTACCATATAGTACCAGACGAAATTAGTATATCTTAATCAGATATAGATTTAACAGTAAAACCAATTATCAGAAGCCATAAACGACATAATTATAACAGGCAATGATAAAAAGCAAACATAAAGAGTCGGAACAAATCTTTACGTGCAATTCTAGATGAAAAAACTAGAAGAAATCAAAACAAGTATGCAAAGAACCAAGATAACGACAACGACCCAATACAATGAACTAGAGTCCTAAATCTACATTGGCTTGGACTCGACACTGGTGCACCCCGGCTACTGGGCTTAGCAAGTGCCGGCCAATAAATATATACTAAAGATGTTTCTGGGATTCAAACATTTGACCATCCTGAATCCAATGTAGGTTGCAGGATACATCAATAAAATTGCATAGAAAGAATGAGAACCTGTCTTTTAATTTGCTTTTTCTACCATCAAAACAGGAATTTTGTGTCGATGATTTCTGATCTCGTGATATAGTTTGCTCGTTAGAGTAGTAAAGGTTATCATCTCTTCAAGAACCCCATTGCCTGATACATGTTACTGAGAGTAGCATCTGCTATATCTGCAGCTTTTGTCGCACCCTCTGCTAAAACTTCATCCAAATAACCTGTATCAGATATGATTTCCTCATACCGAGTCTGCAAAAAGAATACCGATGGTGAACGATTTGATATTTGAAGATGAGGACAATAATCCAATCACATTCATTTTCAAGTTAAAGAAAATACTCTTTTCCTCCAATCACCCCTAAAAATTGTAATAGAAGTGTAAATAGTTCAATTAGATTCGGTTTTGGATGAAACCCCAACTATCTCATATATTATTCATGATGAATAATCATGAATATTATGCATTTTTATCATCTATCACAACATTCATCAGTGAATAAAGTATGAGTAGTTGGTTACCAGGTTCTCATTTGAACCTGCTCCAATAGCAATAATTCATTAAAATGGTTTAAACTTTGAATCATACTGTAAAATCTAGCAATAGATAGAAACCTGGATTGGATGGAGATGATCAATTAAAGCATCAGTAAGAACGACTTTAAAAGTTCCCCAGTTCATATCATGGCATTCTTGTGCAACTTCCTGCAATACAAAATTTGTTAATGAACATATTTGAGGCATTTAAAAGGATGCGAAAATTTAGATATTTGTCGCAGCTTTATTGATGATTTAAGGCTCTTTTAATGTAGTTGATAGCATAAATGGTAGATCAAATTGAATTCTAGAATTTATCATAAATTGAAAAGATCATTGTTTACATACACCTCCACTCTTGAAAATATATTTATTTCGTTTATTAGAATATGCTATTAGAGGGAGGATAATGTGAGAAGTTGATCAATTTGCGAGAAGGCAAAAAGTTTAAAGATCATACATAATTACATGTGATACTAATCATGTATATATATGATTAAACACATTTGCATTGACCGGCATATAGCTGGCGACCTTCCCTAGAGGTCACGCTCACCAAGTCACCCGCGTCTTACATATGTGTGTGTGTGTATATACGTGTTCGTATCACATGTAATCATGTATGATCTTGGAACTTCTGGCCTTCACACAAATTGACCACCTTCTCGTTTGAACATCACCCTATGTTATTAATGGTCATACACCTACATCTTCGATCCAACAAATAAACACTAGACCGTTGAAGCATATGAAGTTGCAGCAATTACCTCCTTGGTCCTGTTTGTAATGATTTGATATACGGAAAGAAGATTATTGCATTCAGGCCTATCAGCATTGTCGAACTCCAAGCTAGATTTACCATAGAAAAGAAGTGGGAAGATCTTATCAAACCCGACACAATTAATCTTGATGCCACAAAGAGAATAAAAAGACGACAATAACAGATACCTAAAAAATCTAGATGTGAACACAAAAGGAAGAGAAAAGGCAGAAAACCGTTTAACGGAATAGTGATTCCTCACCCAGGATAAGAATCTGTCTTGCAACGCTTAATCTTGTTTGCAATTGCCTATAAAGAGAGATGCAAACTCAGATTGGAACCAAAAGTTATAACAAAAGTTCTCAAATTAGAAACTGCACATCCAGCATCATTCGAAATGAGAAGGAAAGACACTGATAACATATTATAAAGGTAGAAACTATATAATTACATCAAACCACAAGATAGAAAATGAAGTAGGTTAGTCTCATCAAACACACAACCCGTTTCGACCTATTCTAAAAAAATTTGCCCATTTGACCCGTACCAATTTTGACCCATTATCATATTGCCATATGAAAAAGTAATATCATATCAAACATACAACCACAGACATTAAAAAGACGGGAAAGTGTAGCAATGAAGTCTGGCCACTCACATCTTTTGAGTCGAGCAAATTAATTCGAGACTGATCAGAAGGAGCAGACTTGGACATCTACAAAAAAGAGTGCATATAAGGTAATAATACCAAGTATTTAGTATTGGTAACATTGAATTGTATATTATGATTTTTATTTTCTGTTAAATTACCAATTTCTAGCCAAAAGTGCTTAATTCACAAACAATTATATGCTTAACTTAGTGAAAGTTATATACGTGTAGCTCAATAAGAAATACCTTAGAAAGACCATCAGTAAGGGACATCACCCGTGCTCCAGCTGGAGGAATTAAGGGCTCAGGAACCTATATAATAAAATATGCCAAAGTTGGTATTGTTTCAACTAGCTATGCAACATTGAGAGAGAAACAAATAGTAAGATCAAGTATAGGATGTACCTTAAAGATTGAACCACCCCGCCTGCGAACATAATAAAAAGAGTAGTCAATAAGCTTTTGCCATAAAGATGAACAGTAACCATCTAAATTATTATGTTTCTTACCCTCCTAACTTCTTCCATTTCCTACCACCATATAAATGATTGACGCGTTCAGCCAGCTCTCGCGTCAATTCTAAATGCTGCTTCTGATCCTCACCAACTGGGACTAAATCAGACTGCAAAGAAAAGAGTGTGGCTTCTAAGAATGGATATTGGTCTCATCTTATTAGAACTAAAATTGGACCATTGCTGACTTTATGAAAACGATATTTCTTTCATATAAACTTATTGGTTCACCCATGATTGAATGGTGAGAAAGGTCTAACATTTGATATAAATTTAAAACTTCAAATTGAATTAGAGAACATGCCACGAAACCACCACTTGTATATCACATTAAATGATGGAGGGTAGAGTGGTCCCTTCTTTCTAAAAAAACGAACTTTTCAAACTTAGTGATATCGCCCCGTATATGGGATCCTAAAAGTAGAATATATTGGTGAGCATATAGTGGAGCAAACAGAATAATGAACAATAGCTATCAACTATGTTATTAACGGTATCTAAATGAACAAACGTACCTGGTATAGAAGAATATCAGAAGCCATCAACACTGGATAGGTCAAAAGTGCAACCCCAACATTTTCATCACCCTTTGAACAAAAACAAAAGAACCCTTATTAATTTCATAAATACATACTGCATTTTATTTTTTGGGATAAAGAACCGTGTTTTATTTTCATCCCCTTTATTTTGGTTAACCATCTAAGGTAAAGATAAAGAATGTATGCCTAAGTTCAATGGGAAATGACCAAATGATGAATTGTAGAGATTGAGCTGCATACAATAAAGACGCACCGCCTTTCGCGATTTCTCTTTGAACTGAATCATTCTGTTCAGCCAACCAATTGGTGTAGCAGAGCTCAGCAGCCACATCAATTCTACATGAGCCCGAACATGAGATTGCACAAATACAGAAGCCTGTCTGACAAATTGGAGTTCAGTTGACGTATATATGCAGTAGAGAGAATATAGCAAACACGTATGCAATAATGCAACATTAAAATATGATCACAAAGAAAGCAGCAAAAGACCTTTGAGGTGTCCACACCACATGCCAAATAAAGTGCTGCAGTATCTTTAGTTGCTTTAGACAATTGTTGGACATCATACGGTAGAGTTATCTGTAATATTGACAGCATTTGGATGTATAAGGAAACAAATGGAAAACAAAAGATAAACGATAATTAAATTACGGCATTATTTGAGAACTCAAATTGGTAAGTACGGCATTATTTGAGAACAAAGGGAGCCATAGTAGTGTGTGTGTGTGTCAAATGATAAGCATGCTTATTCTAGTGTACATACCGCATGAAGATCCACAATAAAGAATAACGTCTCATACTTATCCTGAAAGAGAAAAAAACAGAGGAAATATCAAAGTAAATTGTGAACAGAAGTAAGACATCATTTTATGTTATATATGCATATGAACATATATTAACACGCCATTTTAGAGATCAATCAGTATTGTCCAGAATCAAGTGAAGTGACGTAAGTGCTTTTTAGACAATGCAAATCCTGCTATGAACCATTAACGTTACAACATTAACATTCCCAAGTCCACACAGACAATTACTTAAAAAATGAAAGAAAATGGCTAAGAGTTTCAAAAAAGAGAGAAACTACTGGAAACGGCATAATTACTTGTCAAACGATTCAAATATAAAAACCAAAAACTTCCAAAGTCTGTTCTCCTTTTTCTTTTTTGGTAACATGGTATCCGACTTTTGGCAACTAATCCCACAGGGTCCGAGCCCACAACCACATACATTGGAACCGCACAAAGCTGTCCCTTGTGGGAAATAGAATCCCACAAGAAAGGGTGATGAAGCAAGTGTAGGGGTGTTCCATGATGGTTCATCTAACTATCCAGCTAAGACGCAACGAGTATGTCAATGCATGACATATGAGCTCCCGTGGTCCAGTTAGCAACTAACATGAATAGGATATAGTTGGGGGTACAATGAGGATGGCACTCTTATCTTATCCTTTGCATAATCTTATATCATCAAAAAAATAAAAATAAAAATAAGCCACAATATTAATAGGATAAATCCACATAAAAAGACGCAAGAATAATGCCACATAATTTGATTTTCAAAAGATCAGTTAACTCACAACCAAATATATGAATAAAACATATACCTGCAGAGATACCCAATTTTTTATAGCACCAAGATAATTCCCAAGGTGTATAGACCCAGTTGGCTGCACACCAGACACAATTCTCTTCCTGTTAAACACAGTTTAGGTTAAAGAAGGGAGAATTATTCATGGCCCCGGACTTAACATTACACATAGATTTAATTAAGGACACCTGAAAAAAAAAATATAAACGACCAACTTATGGAGATTAATAGTTACTTTATAGAGCTGGAGGAACTCTCTATAACAGTAGGCTCGGAGGCTGAAACACTGCAATAGCATCGGTAACTACCACCACCAACTGGAAGGTGATTCTGATGGACCATCTGCAGCCTTCGTTGTAATTTACTTGAAGTGCTACATGACCTGTTTGAGATCATCAACAATGAGAAATGTATCTACAGAAGACTTTAATCAAGAACAGTACTCCAGAACTCAGGCCACTGCATTCAATATTAAATAAGTTTTATGAAAGAAATAGTAAGGAGAAAACTCGGGCTGGCCTAAACATCTTTCAGTTTACTAATTGGGAGACAATAAATAACTCCAGAAAGGTATTTCACCTAGGTATATGAGCTCATTAGCAAACTAACATCAATATGAAAATGTTTAATTAAGTGCTCACCTTGCCAAATTAACCTTTAGGATGTGTTTGGTACACTATAGAACAAGGATCACTGTTCCACGTTTGACGGGACTTTTATGTGGAACAAAGTGGAACAAGCATGTTCCACCCCCACCCCTTGGAACAAGGTGGAACAAGCCTATATTTTACCAATATAACCTCAAAATATAGCTTAATTCTCTTCTAAAACATCAAATACGCCTCCCTGTTTAGATTTTATTCATTCTTTAAATTTTATTTATTGTATTTTATACTATTTAAACTTTCACTACACCATCCTCAAAATATTATTTTTATATGGTTTCTATATTTTGATTAATTTATGTAATTTATTAAATATTAATTTTAAAAAGATATATAGGAAAGGTATAAAATAAAAATTGGGAACTACATGAACTTTTTACTTTGGTGTCCTTTTAATCGTTCTCACGAAAACTTTCTAATGATATATTTTGTTATAAAAAACATTATTGTATTATAATTTAATAAATTATATAAATTAATCAAAATTTATAAACAACTCATTAGAGGTAAATTGGTCATTTTATTTTGTCCTCTCCAATTTTGTCTTACCCAATGTTGAAGTTCTGTCCTGTACTGTCTAGATACCAAACGTACCCTTAATACCCACTACTTCTACTATTATTATACTTCTTATAGCAAACAACCGTGTCCTGTAGCAATATCTAGAACTAATCATTTTAGATTTGTTATAGACGTGTTTATCCCTATGAGACATTGACAATGTATCAAGTATCAAGCAAGCATAATACTAAATATAAGAATTAATTCATTCTAAACCCCTTATTTTCTCTTGTTAATGCTAAGAATAAAACTTCCCTCAAAAAAGGTGGCACGAAAAAGGACACATGTGGATCAAGATATCATAAATAGATGGTTAATTGGCATACAAAAACAAATAAGCTTCACAAAGTTATGTTCACCTTAGGGTATGTTTGTTAGCAGCCTAATGAACTTCATGGGACTTACAGCTTATTCGGTCGGTTATACATGACTGTTTGGTAGTAACTTAATGATATGGAAATTGGTTTATCCAGTAAGATTATAAGGGGAGCTTTATGCGGAATGCCAAGCTATTTTGCAAATCTGTCTCTCCCAATTAAAAAACACTTCCATTTCATTTATGAAAAACCCTCACAAACAAAACCCCCTCAATCTGTAGTCAGATTAATCCACAGAGTCATTTTTATCCATACAAAACTTATTGAAAAACCAACCAACCCCTAAGTGCTGGCTAGTATCACTCAATTTCACCAGCAATAAGCATCTACCCTATAACTTCTAATACGATGTTCATCTCATCCAAATTAACATATCATTCATCGTTGTATTCATGTTATACTATCTATAATCAAGAAAACCGATCACTACCCATAAACAGAACAAACAGAAATGCACTGCTCACTTCCCCAATTTGCTTGAAAGTAATATAACAAACAAAAATTCATCAAATGAAGGAATGTGACCATAAACCCATAACAATTTCAGGTTTCTAACTTCAAATTTAGTATATAAAATTTCCAGCAACACGTATATAACAGAACCTATATCTCTTTGGCTGTTTGGAATGTAGTCGATTTCATGTAACCAAGGCAGTGGACAAAAAAAAGGATAAAGGGATACTGAATACCTGAAGCGTGGACAAGCACTTGAGAGATTGAGGAACTGAGATAGAAGGGAACGGCCCATCTTTCGCTCGAGACCCTGTCAAATTTGAGTTTTAAGATATGATGAAAAGGGCACTGCTGGTGGTGTTGTGTTGTAACCAAAGTTTGGGGATTTGAACATTTTGACCCCTGAACTTTATTATTATTACATTTCCAGTCCCTTAAATAAGATTAGCAATTCACAATGATTATTATGAGTTTATGAGCCAAAAAGTAAATTGCATTTTTTGTGTGTGGTTTATTCAAATTTTTGAATTAAAAACTACAAAATATTTTTTATTATTTCTATTTTTTTAGGGATTTGTTCCTGGATCTAACTTATGCCTCTTTTATGTAAAGGGTATTTTTGTCTTTTTTGTGTTTCAATTTAACTCTAAAAAATCAAAAACACATAACTAACATATCTAAAATAACCATTTAAAAGTTTTCATGTTTGATTGTTAAAACCAGATGAGTTTATAAAAGCCATAAAAAGGCATCATCAATATTCAAAACTTTCATTTTTATTTTTGTTTTTCTCTTATATATTTATACATATGATTAACTAATGCTTGTTGAAATAATCTCAATCACTGATGTTCTATAACACGATTTTTCAGGGTTTATTAACAACGATTGGTATGAATTGTGTTAAACCCTAAATAAATAATGTGTTATTTTTTACATACCCGTTTTAATGACAGCTAAGGTGTTGTATTACGATTTATCTGATGTTTATATCCTTTTGGTCCATAAATATCTTTAAAATACAATGGCTCAATGACAATGACTTAAAGAAACGTCAAACCTTTTGTTTTTTAAAATGCATGTGTTGTGACTAGTTAATTGGTTAAACATTAACAAAGCATGGCTTGCCCACTATGAATGGCAACAGCTCGGATTCGAGCAGTTATTAGTATTTTTGTCCCCGAAACGATAACTACAACCGTTTCTATATCGTTCTGATCCCCGTCGGATCCCTGCGGGATCCTCAATACCTGTTGGGGAACCCATTAAGGGTAAAAAAAACTTTTCTCATTGGTTTTCTCGTTGGTTATACTCGGATTCGAAACCCCAAATCACTTTAAAAAATTACAATAAAAAAATATACCGTCAGAAATATTCTTCAATATCTAACAAGCATAAATATAATTTATATTGTTCACTAAATGAATAACATTATATCAATGTTAATTAATAAACTAAATATTTTTATATTAAACTATAATAAAAAAATATTTAATTATAATCTTTTAAGTTATGACTTCATTGATTAAAAAAGTAACTACTCCAAAAATATGGTTATGTGTTAATAATACCTTAAACTGTTTTATCCAAAACTTTACTGTTATTAATTATAATCATAATTAATATAACGACCTTTTTATAAAATGAAACATATAAAAAGATCGTTATGTTAATTATGATTAAAATTATTAATGGTAAACTTTTGGATATTCCCGACAGTTCAAACGAATTACCCACTTTTTCCACGGCTAAAAATCTAAATATGGGTTTTAGTTCGTTAAGACTGTATTTGGTACATGGAATAAGACAACCGTCCTATGAAACATATGGTTATGCTTTTTTATGGCCAGAATGTGATAAGACAAGACAAAACTCATTGTCTCACGTTCGTTTGGACGACATGCGACAGGACAATAACTTATTTCTCACATTTGGTGCGATATGGGACAAAGACAAAAACTAGGACAACGTGTGACAAAAGACATTTTTTCTTGTGTTCACAAAAATAGATGAAATAAAAATGAGGCAGAAATTAAAATATTACTAATTAACTCTCGTTTGATATATAACTTTATGATGATATTTGTTTAGCAGTCACTATCGTTAGTCACGGCCGATGCACCACCGATAGACACCATCAACCACCTCCACCGCCTCCTCCACTATAATAACCTCCTTCACCACTTCTACAACCACCACCATCTATCATCGCCTCCACATCCACCATTGACCACCGACCACCACCTTCCATTGCCACTACCACTACCATTGTTGGCCACCTCCACCTTATCATCTACTACAACAACCTCCTCTACAACCATCATCGGTTACCAACCAACACTGTTCATCGCCACCATCATTACCACCATGCCCTACCTCACCTCCACCACCTCTGCCATAACCACCACCACATAGGCTACGACTACCTCCTCCATCATTGTTGATCGCCACCAATACTACCATCCACCATCTTCACGTCATCCACAACCACCATCGTTTACCAATCACCAATGCTTATACCTAATCCACAACCATTGTTGTTGCAACAATCTTCACCATGCCTTCATCAATTGATAAAGATCTTCCAACATAATAAACACATAACTTATCATTTGTCGTATGAATCGGTTTTTTTTAAACTACCATTAATTATATAAAAAAAATTCGTTCAAATCTGGTACCATTTTGTATTTATGTATATGAAAATTGTGTAAAAATGTTTATAAATTAAACTAGTTACGTTATTTGTATTAATTATAAATATTATACGACATGTAAAATCATAAATAACTTTTGGAGACAACTTGTCTAGTTTTATCATGTCCAGTCCTAGTCATACTAAACACCTGACAAACACTTGTTCTGTCTAGTTTTACCCTATTGTTCTATTCAATTATGTCTGCATACCAAACACTACCTACCAATACATCGAATAAATTTTATAAATTTGAAAAACTAAAGTTTTTGTTTTTTATATTATCTGGATTGATTTTTCTATCTTATTCTCTAATGCTATATTATTCAATCTAAGAAAAAGAAAAATAAATGAAAGAATTAAAAAAAAGAAAAAAAGGAAAGAAAATAAATTTTTTATTTATGTTTCTTAGAGAAAGGAAATAATTTTCCATGTATTTAAACGGAAGATAAAAGAAAGGAAAAATATTTTTATAAATATATTCTTATTTATTTTTCAACGTGTTATAATTGATAAGTAGATGTATAATTTTACAAATATTTATGATAATAATTGTTTATATTATTTCATTTCCTCTTATATTTGAAAGAAAAATCACCATTATTTTTCCTCTAAAAGGAGTGTTTGAGATTGCTTATTTAAAACAATTTATATTTTTTTATAAAAATATTTATCAACTTATTATAAGTTAGAAAAATTCAATTTAAATTATATACTTTAAAATTCTTAATATGATTATTTATTTTTAAAAGATTATATATAAAAAAATATTTTGAAGGGCAGCCGTGCAGGAGTAGTAAATGGTCGTGGAAGAAGTAAAATAAGGAGTGACAAAAGAATATCAGATTTTGGTTCTACAGAAGATTTTGGAAGTTTGAACTGTACCTCTATCCCGCTCTCACGCTCCCCCCTCTTTCTCTCTTTATATATATATATCCCCCCCACCCCACACTATATATGTATCTATATACCTCTCTCTGTATTTCTCACACATACACACTATCTCTCAATCTATATGGTTTCTGTGTGATGCATTTCGATGGAGCCCTAGCGCTGCTGTTTTCTCTCGGGAGCCATTGTTGATTTGCGACTCTGACCGAGCTCTCGGAATGCAGAGTGAGCTCATACATATCTCCCTCTCTCAAATACACACACACGTTGAAGCTTCAGCTTCAAAACGCATATTATATGTTCATGAAATTGGAGCGGTTGTTCCACCTGCATTGAGTGTTTTCAGTTTAAGATCAATCAGCTGCACAGATCTGCGACCTTACGTGTTCTTTTTTACCTTTTGGAGTTCATTGTTCTTGTTTCTCTATTTTCTTTGTTTTGATATGGCTTGTGACGTTGCCTGTTTGTTTGATCCAATTGAGATCGAGTCATTTCTAGTTTGTCTTTTTGAGTGCTGAGTCGATCTTTTAAGCTGAATAAGCCGTATGTTATTTGGAGAAATAAAACTCTCTGTTTTTGGTAGAATCCCAAATGATGCATCTGGTATTGTATTATCAAACGGTGTACTTGAATATTACTGTGGCAGCAGCAACAATAGTCCTGACAGTTCCTTAGACATTTTCTTTGGTAACCTGTGTCTTTCTATTTTGTCTTGTACTTGTTTTATTTTTTTATACATTCTTTGAACAGTGAATTTTATTTGTTTATGATTAGTAATATTGAATTTTGTTGGGACATGATGCCGCAAATTTTGTTCTATTCTATTCCAGCTCTAAGAATCTTATCCCTTTAATTAATTTAATAAGCTTGTGAAATGGTTTTATTTTTATTTGGCAAATTCTGATTTAAAAATTTGAGCCTCCTTGCTTTATTAGTGTCTTGAGATCTACCTTATATGTAGCTCCAAAGGGTTTTGATTACACAGTCTCAATTGTCTGACACTACTTTTGACCACTGCAGTCATAAAATCTATAATGTTCTCTTTGGCTTTTGATTTGATTTGATTTTTGTTTGTGTTGTGCCAAGCAAACAACAATGTGTCAATAACCTTTGTTTGGTGGAAGTACAAATATATTTATATACAGATAGAAGAGATGTGTGATGAAAAACAAAAGAGTTTGTTTTAAGTTTTTGATTCATTTATACTAGGAATTGTACACCAAATATTGGTGATATTGATTCATTCCACTGTTTGTAAAGAAAGTTGAGATGGGACAGTAATGGTCTGTCTAATGTATGTTTGGGGATTTTCATTACTTAATATGTTTTTTATTTCACTTATGCAATAATTATGCTTTAGTTATTAATATGTTTGGGATTGGCTTGATTTGTATTGTGCTTACTTGTTGACAATATGGATTTTAAATAGTTCTATGCCATTTACTTCCAATATAATAGAAGAAAACTATGGTCACTGCTAGTTTGAACATAGGCCTGTTTAACATTTTGCAGTCCCTGAACATGGATACCATCATAGGAATATTGAATACATAAGGCTAATGGAAAACGAAATAGAAGATTCTGTCCTAGGTGCTTATATCTATTGCTAGATTAAGTTTCAGAAGAAAAGCAAAAAATTGCATAATCCAAATGAGGGATTGTTGTAGTTTCAATCAGCCACTGACAAGACAAACTCAAAATACATTATCACATATGTTGTAGGCTTGTAGCTATGTCGTTGAACTTCAACCATGTTATGCAAAATTCAGAGTGTGCTATAGTATTCATCGTTGTAATCTTTACTCTAAAGCTTTTATTCTGTGCTCGCCGTTCAGATATGATCCAATTAGGTTGTACTAGCAAAAGATGGGACAGGATTTTCAAGCCCAAGAAATATATAATGTCTTCTATCATCAAGTTCAAAGATAAGTTGACGTAATCAAATACTAGTATCTATATTTGTGATTGAACATTTAACTATCAGTTACTGGTCTATTCATCTGTCAAAAATCCCTTATTGGTGTATGTAGCTAGTGAAGGAGCCCAAGTAACAAGCTCTTTTAAGATGCGGTCATGATCTAAGTAGTCAAGTTGATGGCAGAGTTACTGGAATGATTATCTTTTGTGTAATCACCGACTAACTTATCTCAGTATGTGTTATACACTGGGGATTGACGTCTTTGGGAAGTGAAGTACAAGTGGCTAATGCATAGATGGTACAAGTAGGTAATGCAGTTGGATAGTACAAATAGAGAGGTTTAAGGGTTTAGGAGGGTCATTCTGTTTGGTAGACACCTTTTGGGCGTGAGTCCTTGGGAGAGAATCTGGCCTCTCGAAAGCCAGAACCCTTTTGTACGCATTAATACAACCAAAACTTAGCATTGATTTTACTGTTTTGATTCGGTTTACAACAGTATGATAAGGATGATGCTTAAACCAAGAAACTTCCATTATATAGCTTTACTTGTTTAATGATAAGGGAACCATAATTCTATGTCATACAAGTATATTAAGAGTTACTAACATAAATACAAATGCTTTTGTTGCAGAACCCATGGAAAGCAAGTCAATCTAACATCTATGCACCACTCTTCTTCAAGGCAAAGAGCCATGACTATGGGAAATGTACCTGCTGCAAATATCCAAGGGGCCACTACACGAGTCACTAGAGCACGTGCTAAAGTGTTGGGTGCATCAAGGGGTTTGCCACCGCGACATCCCTTGGTGAAACAGGATCACAAGCAGGCCCTTCAACCAAAAGCTAAAAGAGCATCATCAGATAACAAGTCTGCTACTGATGTTGCCTCCAATGTCCCGGCCAAGAGAAGGGCTGTTCTCAAGGATATCACCAACAATCTCTTCGAAGATTCCAGCATAAAAGTTTCCAACGGAATTAAAGATCAGGTACATATTTCTATCAGTTTTCAGTTAGTATCTTCTTCATACTTATAGCATTAGACAATGACGATTGATAGCAGTGAAACAACATAATGTAAGCTTCTTGTACCCGCTAATTAAAATGTGTAGCTTATTTCCTGTTGATGTTGCTTGTTGTCAGACTAGCAAGCAGGTCAAAAGATGTACTGGCAAGAAGAATGGGAGGGTGGCACCGTCTCTTCCTGTGGACCCTCAGATTCAGAAGAGAAAGGAAAAAGCATCAGAAAGTATGACCAAACAGAGTACAAAGGAGTTACTTAAAATAACTTCACAACTAAAATCAGAAACAGATGGTGCAGTTATATACAAAAATCCAAGTATAGGTGGTGTGCCAGATTTGATGCATGCAAATCAGGCATCCAACAGATATTCTGGACTCGGAAGCTCTTCACAGAAAGGTAAGAATACCTTTTTTGATTTGTGGGAGACCAAGTCCCATGACGTGCCCGTGCAACAATGGTACCAAACAGTCCTCAATTGCATATTAAGCCTCACTCATGCAAATAACTTTTAAGATTTTTATATTTTATCTTCGCCTAGTCCCAAAAATGACCAACTATTCTGTCAATTCACACAAAGTTACTGTTATTTAAATTTTAACCATCAAGTACCAAGTTTAAGGATTTTTGCACATGTTCAAACTCAAGATTTTCTCTAGAATTCACCATATAAACTTTAAATGTTAATATGTTAAAGCATCCTGCTTTTCTTTCACTTGGTAAGTTTTCATTCACTTCTTTAGACTCCTCTTTATATGTGTTCATCAGAATAGTTCTATGTTGCATCATGCAGGAGAAAGCAAGACTACCAGTGAAGTGGAAGCCTCAAAAGACCAGTCCATTATTGACATTGATTCTAAGCACAAGGGTCCTCAGATGTGCAGCTTATATGCTGCAGAAGTATATAGCAGTTTACGCACGGCAGAGGTCTGAATAGCTGTTGACCTCCCTTCATCGGTTAATACCTCCTTTGTCTATGATTTTTATATTCTTAACAACCAAGCAAACTTTACCAGGTGCTAGGTTTTATTCTATTAAATCATATTTTCTTTTCAGTTTACATATACAAGTTTGGTTTTCACTTATCTAGCTGAAATGAGGCTTTATCTTTATTATGACCTTTTATTTGTGAAAATACCCCTCTCTCTCTACATATATATATATATGTGTGTGTGTGTATGTGTATTTAGACGACCAAGGAACCACACCAAGAGAGTGAAACTTTTGCTGTTTGTTCATTGACCTCTAGGATATCATGAGCAAGTCCCAGCCAGTTGAAATCATAGAGTAAATGTTCACTTGTGTGCAATGTTGTTTTTTCTGTAAATTCTATACAACACATTCTCTTTTGTTTTCTGAAATCTTATCTTTTCTTTCATTTATTCTAAAGCACCTCTTTTTCACAGCTTAAGTGGAGGCATTCGGTTGATTATATGAAAACAGTGCAGCTGGAGATATCACAAGAAATGCGTGGTATTCTTATTGACTGGCTTGTGGAGGTTAGCTCTTGACCATTTTATGGGTTCAGAAATTTCATTTTCTACCATAAATAGTCCAGCCACATTTTAATCCACTGGTTGCACAAGAATGTATGGTCAATCTGTGTTGTACATATGTAGCCATGGATCTAGGATTTTCTTTCAGTTTTCCATCGGACTCTTGAAGTTCTTCTTCATGATAATCTTATGCAACCCCTTTAATTGCTGATTACTAGAGTTTGGTGTCTGAATTTAGGTTTGTGAAGAATATGGGCTAGCTTCGGAAACATTTTACCTTACAGTTGCTCTCATTGATCAGTATCTCTCTAAGAAGTGCATTGGAAAACGAAGACTCCAATTGCTTGGTATAACCTGCATGCTTATTGCCTCGTAAGTTCTCTTCTTTTTCCTTTATGAATATGCATAAATCTCAATCACACCTTAGTGAAATCCAGTCACTCTGCAGTTTCATTTCAAGAAAAAGCAGTCTCTCCACCTTGCTACGTATTTCTTACCATGTGTCCACTATCAAATATCTTGATGCTATTTTTAGGTCATTTAACGTTTCGCCATTTTCATTTTGTCTTCTGGTGTAAAGAGAAATGAAAATATGATATTGGATAATGTTTATCGTTTTATAATCTTTTAATTTTTTTCTTTGATCTGTGCACCTTTGACCAGCTAGTTCATAGATCCATGCAAAGCATCCCCTCCACATGGACCGGGCAAGCATAGGCCTTCCAGCTAGCTGACGTGGCGCCTAAGGACTTGATAGGACCTGTAGGGTTTGAACTTGGACCTGTTAAACCAGGTCTCCAAGTCTTATCTACTAGGCCCACCTTTGGGTGGGTCTGTTTATTTGATGGGAGAAGAATTGAAATAGGGCCCACAAACAGGTGGAATATGAAGGTAATGTGAAATAATAGCATGTTAGTTTGTTAAACTAATACTTCAAATATCACGGGATAATTTTTAATATCATTTGAATTAAAACACTTCAAAGGCTTTCTTTTTATGAAAAATGTTTTTATAAAACTTATGTGTTGGCCCTTGAATGATGATAGTATTTCAATACAGTTATCAAATGTTAATGGAAGTGTTATTGATTCCTATAAACCTATTGAATCCCTTAAATAGATGAGGTATATGCATTATTCCATGGTTGTTGCTTATGCTGTGAGAAAAATGGTTCATTGATAGTCCACTTTAACTTGCAATGCAATTGATCACACTGTCGAATCCTATTAACATATCTAATCATATGTATTATCTGATTTCTGGTTTTAAGGAAGTACGAAGAAATTTGTGCTCCACGTGTTGAAGACTTCTGTTTCATCACTGACAGCACCTACACAAGAGGAGAGGTGAGTTCAGTTCTACTATTAAAGTCATAAATTTCATTTGAGTCCTCTTTAATACCCGACATACGGTTCTTTTCCTTCATTTAGTTTTCTCAAACTCCAGCAAAACTTGAAAGAGTGGCACTAAATGAAATTGGTCTACATAGTAGACGACAACCCTTGTTGCTTTCAAGTTTCAACTATTGTTTTTAGGCTTTAATGGCCGTACCTATCTACCATGGTGGTTTCTGCTGAATTCTGTGTACACTTTGGACATGTATTTACTCTTTAGTCACTTGTGTCCTTTCTTTTTTCGTGTTCACTGCATCATAATAGCCACATTGGAAATCTTTTTGTTAACGAATGAGGTTATACCTGCAGGTATTGGAGATGGAGCACACAATACTGGATCTATTGAGCTTTCAGCTATCTGTTCCGACTACAAGAAAGTTCCTTAGGTTAAAGTCCACATCCATAACTTATCTAGTCACTTTGTCTAACCCATTTTGTTCCAATCCTTGTTTCCATTTTTGGTGTCCCATATACACAAATCCTTGCACGGTTGCACCACATTAATGGGACCCGCAAAATGGAAATGAGACTTAATGTTCCATGCTAAAATTATGCAGTCTAAGTAAATCCACCAAACTTTCTAACATGCACAAATCTTCAATTCCATTTTTCAGGAGATTCCTTTTAGCAGCACAAAGTTCTTATATGGTATGTTAATGCTCTTTAGTCACAACTATTTGTGGTAACAAACAGAATTATGATACTGAACAAACTGCCTTTTGAATGCAGGCTCCAGTTATAGAACTTGAATTCCTGGCCAACTATTTAGCAGAGCTAACTCTAATTGACTACAGTTTCCTAAAGTTCCTACCTTCCCTCATTGCTGCCTCAGCCATATTCTTAGCTAAATGGACACTTGATCAGGATGAAGATCCATGGGTATGTGTTCCTTTTGCTACTATATCCGGCTTACATCTGCGAAATATATATTTAGGTCATTGTACTACAAAAATTGTTGATTTGCCCATTATCTCATGTTCCAACGAGCAACTGCCATGGTCCTACTTTATGCCAAAATAGGTAAGGTGGCTCTTATATATATATATAGTGAGCTTTAGGGAAATCCTCAAAAAATGAAAAACTAAGGAACACCCTAATAACCATTCATCTGTACGGTATGCACATATGCATACAAGTAATTTGTCTGGTATGCACATGAAACTAGGAAACATCTTCAATTACTTGTATGCACATGAATAATTATTAGGTTGTTTTTCAGTTTTTCATTTTTTTGTGGTTTTCTCTAAACCTGACCCCATATGTATATAGAGAGAGAAATAGGGAAGGGTTCAAACGAGAACATCTTTCTTTTACGAGAACGCGAGAACACCCTTTTACATGTGATACTAAATCAGAGACGTGAGCGACTTTAGGCGCGATCTTGGTCGCGGGCCAAGTTGCCCTTACACCGGTGAGCCCCCTCACATGTATTATCACATGTGAACACCTGTTTTTGATGTGATACTATAATACATCAAGACCATCAAATGTGATACTAAATCATAGACGTAGACGACCCTTGTTGCGGCCTAAGTCGTAGCACACGTCGTCCGCACACCACCAGGTCTCCTCACTTGTATGATCACATGTGATAAAGGTGTTCTCACGTTCTCGTCAAATGGACCTCTCGTTTGAACCTACATTCAAACAGAATCAGTGGCATACTTATATTCTCACATTTATCTTGATAAATTCGTATAACAAATTAACTAAATAAAGGTCAATTTAAGACAACATGAACAGTAGAATGTTAATCATCTCGGTTTTTATTTACAATTTATGTCAGGTAATTTGATTAAGATTTGACCAGAATGATGTAGTTTATATGGCGATTAGAGCACAAGTTAATTGATTTTTTTGTTTATTTACGTAATTATAGAAAATGTAAGAATACAACCATGCTTTATTCATCTATTTTGCCTATCAGAATGATAATATGTCAATGCTCAATACGGGCAAATGTGCCAAAGTAAAATTACTGGCAATTGATGGCTGGATCTGGATTCCAACGGTTGAATATATAATTATAACCGTAGAGTGACCAAAAGCCATTTTACTCCACAATACAGTGGTAAAAGAGAGACTTTTCCCAGCTGCTAAAGAAACAAACCTTCTTGATTTTCTTTGTTTAATGACTAAAGCTTTTACCATAAATCTTCTTGCAGAATGCTACGTTAGAACATTATACTGGTTACAAGGGATCGGAACTAAAAGTTACAGTTCTGGCCCTCCAAGAACTGCAACTTAACAATGCAGCCCCTCTCCATGCTGTACGCCAAAAGTACTCGCAACAGAAGGTAACACTATGTCAAATGACTTGATTCATCTATGTTTTTCCTTGTTATAACTGTGTAAATAATCCACTGTGCATCATAAAAAAACAGATAAAATACATCATCATACTTATACATCTTTTCTGAAACTTCTTAATAAAAAGATTTACTAGCTTCCACAATCATATCAATTGCATTCAATCTAACCAAATTAAATAACATAAATCATCAATAACTATTGGGATCATTGTTTCCATTCTCTTGTTTATTTGATCATTTATGTTGGTTAGTTCAATTAAAATTGAATAGAAGTGATGTAATTTGGTTTGATTATGAGATTATGCATACGTAAGTGCATGTTTGTTAACAACTTAATGAGTTAACGAGACTTACAACTTATTCGCTCAGCTATAATCATTGTTTGGTAATGGCTTAAATTTTTTAATAATATAGAAAGTGGCTTATTGGGTAAGTTTCTAAAGAGGAGTTCTATGCAGAAAATCAAGTTTTTTTTCTTTCTAAACCTGTCTATTCTAATTAAAAAGCACACTCTTTCCATCTATGAAAAAACCATTCCAAACAAAAACCCTCCCAAGTAATACAAGCAGATTAATCCAAATAGTTAGTTGTATCCATATAGGACTTAACGGAAAACCAAACAAACAACCCCTAAGTCTTCTTCTATTTACTCTTGGGGTGGGGGAAAGACTATGAAATTTACTGGGTTCTTTTGGTTTTGTTTTATATAATTAAAAAAAGGTGTTTGTAGTGGACGAGTACATGATATTCTACTTTTTTTCTATGTTGTGAATGTTTGTATGATACCTTTATCATCTAATAGCATTCATTATGTTAATGGCCTAAAGATGATTACTTTGATGGTGACAGTACAAAGGTGTTGCAACGTTAACCTCCTGCAAACCTGTGAAAGCGTTGTTGTAGTAACGTTCATGTTGTTGATGTTTCGACGTACAACGAGATAAATTATCCTCGGAGATCTTCTTGTCACACTTGGATATCTGTAGCATTTGTTGTTCCATTTATCCACTTAAATCTGTTGTAATCAATTCAGATACTTCTACAGTTGTTTGATTAATGTCTCAATTATATGCGATTTTGAGCATCCTATGTGACTTTATATTTCCCCACAAATCAACATTTTTTATAGTGAATTATACTAGTGGTTCCTTTAGTTTGCTCAACTTTTGGATTTGATCTTCAAAACAAAATATCTACACTGATGATTTATAACTTTTCAATTTTATAACACCTGTATTTGGAGTTAACAACTTTTAGGGGGTACAAATTAGTCTGTGGGCAAATTATAGGGACTAACAATGTAATTCATTCTAAAATTAATTGTGATTCATACAAGTTTTTAATTCTTTATTAAAAATATTTTAAGTATAATTAACAAAAAAATATTTTGATTATTACATCAATTTAGTTGTTGTAACTTGTTCACAATTATTTGATAATTTCTTGTAATATTTTAACTTTTAGAACATAATTATTTCTTTCATAACCAAAAAATTATTTATTCCGAAAAAAAATTATAATATATAACAATCTCATGTTAGTCGTACTTAAAATATTTAATAAATAAATTTTAAAAAACATATGTGAATTCCAACTTTAGTCCTTGTAGTTTGTCTAAAGGCTGACTTGTCATTTTTAATGGTTGCTAACCGATAGTTTTAACTCTAGGAATCTTGAGTGTTATAAAATAAAAAAGTTAGGAACAATCAATATAAATAATTTGTTTTAGAGATTAAATCCAAAATTTGAGCATACAAGCATACCACAGTCTAATTTACTGTTTTTGTTATCTACAGTTTTATTCAATGTTGTAGAGTAAATTGTGTTTTTAGTTCTTATGGTTTGTTGAAACTTTTTATTTTCTTCTATATGGTTTTGAAATTACGGTTTTCATCCCCATGGTTTATAATTCAATTTTTTTTAAAGTTTTTTTTATTTTTGTCCTTGTGATCTAAAATTCATTTTTATTTTAGCCTTCTTTTTTTTGAAGTATATAATATATATATACGGCAAATGCAACAAATAAACTCACACATTCTCCTCACCTATGGTGAGGTTTGAACCCCTGACTTCCTAAAAGACCAAGGGCTACGATACCGCTAGGCCAAAGGCCCTTTGGTATTTATATTATATTTTAGCCTTTCATGCTTAAAAGTAGTGTTTTTACCTTAGAGACGAAATTAGAAATGAATTATGAATTATGGAAACGAAAATCAAAATTTTAAAACTATAAGGACGAAATCCACAATTTTTAACAAATCACATTAAATATACTCAATGTTTTGTGTATATATGGAAAGAATCCAACCAACATGGTTGTTGGTTACAATTTATAAACCATATATGGTCTTATTTAACAATGGTTATCCCACATAGGGGGAAATCATAATATGTTCGGAATAAAAACCAATTTTTTTTGCCGGATTAACTTGTTAGGAAATTCAATATTGTGGATTTTTAGGCGTAATTTGTATTTTATAATGTGTTAAAGCCTAAAGTCTTATTTCATTTATATTTGATAAGAGATGATGTTGAAGTCTAAAACAAGAATCAATAAGACTGTGTGTTTTTATAAACTGATAAATTGGCAAGAGAAGTGTTCTTGATGCACGGTTAAAACTTAAATACATTTATGGATAGTTCTGTGAATAGTGTATAAAACTTTACCTTGAAGTGATTAATGAGACGAATTACAAGGTGGATCCGAACATCGTTCAAACCAAGATGCCAATATATAAGCCCGTTTAGATTATGGAAGATTGTCCTTATATAAACATCTAAAAAAATATTATTGATTTTAATAAAATATTAGTATTTTGTAGTATATGAAGTGTTTTTCTATTTATACTAAATTGGATGATATAACAGATATTTTATTATTTATTTTCTAACGTATTACTTGATTATTATCTTTATCGTATAAACCTTCTTTATTTATAATATAGGATAAATAGAAATCTCTTATTACATAGAAAACGATGTCGTAATTCCGTGGACGAAATTGAAAGGATGGTGGATGCTTAAATCGTTGTACTTTGTGCAGTAGTAGATGTACAGTCTTCAAGGTCAAAGTAGCTCCTAAAGAATATCCAAAAGTCATTCTAATCAAGCAACATGGAAAGTCAAACTTGACTCTCTCTCTCTTTCTCTATATATATATATATATACATACACACTATCTGTATCTATCTCCCCAAGAGAAAAAGAAAAAGAAAAGAAAAAGAAAAGTAAAGAATCAATCACTGTGTGGCGGGACTCCTCGGATTGAGCGATTCTTCACTGCTCTGAAAAATTCCTCGGATTCTGTGTTGGTTTAATCGCATACTCATTGGTCACTTCTCCCTCTTTCTCTTCGTCTGGTTCTTGCGACAAAATCAGCTGAAATACGCAACAAAATTGATTTGGTGCACTGCTAGGGTTTTCAATTGTGCGTTTCGATCACAACTTAATGTTGTATACTTTGATTAAGATTCATTGCTGATTATTTAGGTTATTATTTTTGTGAAAGTTCCGTATTGAGGTTTACTTGGTTGTTGATTTTGAATACGTACTGTTAGAAAGATCAAGATTCTGATGCCAGGTTTGGACTACGGAGTATTGGTTAATTTGATGGTGGAACGTTTGATTTATTGGTGGTGTATCTGTTTGATTTATTGGTGGATTAGGGTTTTAATTTCATGGTACATTTACGATGAATATTTATTCTAACATCTTTGCGAATTTTTGGAAAGTAAACGATCAGAGATTTTGCCTAATTGTGCATTATTTCGGATTTTCAGCACATTAATTGAGATTTTTTTGGGATCAGATAATCAAGAGGATTGATACTTTGTTTTAAATTTTACTGGTTAGGGCTGATTAGAGTAATTGGCACTTGAGTAAAATCTTAATATGGTTGTCAGTTGCTATAACCTTGATCAGCAAGTTGCCTTAATCATATAAATGTATCTTTTCATTGTGTCAATTTAAGAGAGAAAGCTGGGAAAAGGAAGAAATCTTGGAGTTACTTGATTTTGCATTAATAATATTGAATGATAAGTAGCTAGCGTGTTGTACTTTGTTTCGCCTTACTCTTGATAGTGATAATTTGAGCATTACATACTTCTATATGAAATTTCCACAATTTTTACCCCATATTGGCAAGACATGAAGAACTTCTTTAAGCTAGTGGAAGTGACCAGCAAAAATAGAGCACATTTAATTTTGTGCTGCGAGTGTAAAACATCCTAAGCAAAGCTTTCATGTGTCAAGGGATATTTCATAATTGCTATCCTCCGATGTTGGGAAGGAAGTTTTCGTGCACAATATCTTTGCCAAAGGCAGGGAAAAGTTGCGTACGGAGGCCTCTTTCTCCAACCCTTGAAAAGCTGAGGAACCTTGGTGCACAATGGTAACCCTTTCTTAGAAGGGGATGGTACTTTTGAATTATAAGGACAAAGAGTTTCCTGTGACATGCATTTTGTGTCTTGGCAGGTTGATCTTCACAATATACTCAGCATATGGTGCTACTTTGAATTTCAGTTTGTGTATGGCAGCAAAAGACAGTAGGGCGTGCCATTTAATCATTTTGATGCGTTCTTTGGTATTACTAGCTCGTATGTTCATTTCTTCATTAGTTGCTGGAGAGTTAGATGGGCGTTTGTGTATTGGGATTTCATCATAAAATACAAACAACAAAGGCACCACTCGTAATGGAGCGAGCAGAAACCCGTAATGAGAGTGGGCATGTAATTGATATAACAAGTAACAATGAACCTTCCTCATCTAGCACAACTCAAGATAGACCCGTCAACGGGTCAAACTCACAGCAGAATGAAGACCTGCCTACAACTAGTTTGAGTGATCCTGTTTTCCAGCATGCTTTTTCTACTGTTAATGGAACAAATGCAAGGAGTACACCATTTGCTAGGAGGGGGGATGGCCATGGTCGTCGTAGGAGCCCATTGAATTCTGGCTATTGGATATCTATCGAATTAGTTATAACGGTAAGTCAAATAATAGCAGCCATTATTGTTCTGTCCTTGTCGAGGCATGAGCATCCTCGTGCTCCACTATTTACATGGGTTATTGGTTATGCTTCCGGATGTGTTGCAACTCTCCCTTTGCTCTTTTGGCGATTTCATTATCGCAACCAAGCATCAGACCAAGATCCATCTCAGCCTCATCAAGGTCCTGCTCCAAGCAGCCTTTCTGCTATAGCCACCTCTTTCACTTCATCTTCAAATGCAAGGACGTCGGTAGGAGACACTCACAACACCACCGGTACGACAATACCTGTAACGGTCTTGCTGAGAGCAAGGTATGTAGTATTTGGCAAAATGTTCATATTATAACATATGTTTTCTGTTTCCTTTGTCAGTTTTTGTTTGGTTAGTTCATTCTTAGCTGTGCTTAGGGTTGAGTAATCCAGAACACTCAAATTATTAATTACTAATAATTTATAGACTAATTACTCGGTCCACTTTGTTTACCTCTTCCCCTTAATACAAGAGGTAGCTTATTCATTAGTTAAAATTGAGTTGTGATATGCTCACATACATAAATTGTACGCTGCTGACTGTGTTCATTAATTAAAACCCAATGCATCAGTCTGCATTTCTCCTTCGTATGTCTTTTGGTCTTTTGTGTGGTTTTGCTGGATAATATTTATTAACTTATGAATATCAACTAGAGGATACTATCTGAACCGATATTGTTTATATATATCGAATAGAATAATAGCTTCCTAATTGTGGTTAAAAAATACTTCCTTGCTAGATGTGCTCATTAATGCGGAGAACACACAAACAGCTGTAGCCTTACTTAAATAAAGTGAAGTATTAAATCATCATTTGCACTTTATACGAAAAGGATATGTTGTACAGCAGAGTGTGACACTTTGGTCTTTGGTATCTTGTCTCTTTGATACATTTGAGTTTCTTGATATGGGTTTGAGAAGCATGTTCAAAGATGATTAAAACACAGAACCTGATCCACATAACTGGATGTATATATTTATATTTATCAAGAGAAGAAATTTTATATGTTTTGACGTGAAATGTCAGATTGGTCTCTCCAAGAGTAAGACAGTTTGGAACAAATGAGAGGCATAAGTTGCTTAAAATTAAAGAACATCAAGAGGAACAGTAATCCTCAAGTGATTTGAAATAGATCATGACTCTTTGAGTTGTCCCTGGTTCACCCCACAATAGATCTCATAGTTCTCTTCCATTTGTATTTAAGAAATTATGCTCAAGGATGGCTTAAGATGGAAATCGATTAACTATGCTAATAGTTGTGTCTAAAATGCTAATGTAGGCAACTCTTTAGGTTAAAGGATTAAGCAAGAAATAAGTTGGCAATTGCTTTACAGGAAGAGATGAGTTGGAAATGGAAAGGTTCCATGGACTCTTTTTGAAGTTTTTGCTAAAGTGGTAATGATTGTGACACTTTGAGATTGTTTGAGTTGATTGTTTTGAGTGCAGTCCCTTATGGCTTACTTAGTACCCACAAAGGTGTAGCTGTCATTAAGGCTGCACAAACTGACAAGTAAAAATGTAAGTCTACAACACTAGCTAGCGCAAGGCAAGATGTGTGTCTTATATATCTGTATATATGAAATTATCTTTTAAGGTATCAGTAACATGAAAAATAACAACACATACTTGAATACTCACCAAAGTTCATTCAAGTATCATCAATTAAAAATTGAACAATAATATTAACATCAATTAACCATTAACATCAGTTAACAACCGATAGTTAACAATAATAGCATAAATTACAGACATTAATAACATTTTAACCATTAACATTTATTTAACCTAAAACTCACAATAGAATCATCATAGATAATAAATGAGGCGTGAAGACACAAAGAGGCAGAATACAGATTTAGATAGTAAGACTCTAATGTGAATGTTCAATATAATTTTGCTTTATGCGTAATATTTTAATCGAAAAGATGCTTAATGGGCTTAAATTTCATTCGAATTAAAGGGCATTGTGAAAAAAATATTTTTGGTTTCATTAAAATAGTCCAAAGAGTCGGGTTTGTGCTTTGAATGAATCCTTGTCGTATATGTGCCTTAGAGAGGCTGAGCCGCATGCCTCCATGAAGCCAATGGGCCTCAACCAAGGCAACATGCCGAAGTTGTGCCGCAATTGTCATTCTGCTTGGCTACATCTTGCGATGGATAGGACAGACCTATTTAAAGGTGTGTTTGTAGAAGATGTTGGAATCTGTCATGTGAAGCTGCAATGTCTAAGATGACAAATGATGAGAGCAGAGGATGAGCATTCCGTCTCCGTCTATCCCTCCTACAGTATTTAAATTTACATTTATAAAGTGACTCCAAGGAGATATGGGGATTGGTTCACAGTTGAGACCTCACACTTGGTGTGAAGCCTATCTGATAATTGGCCCCCTCCTTGGGGTTCCCTTCTGGTAAGAGAATTTGGAAAGTTGGAGATTTCTGTAAATGCAAAAAATAAACAAGGTGTGTAAGTTGGGGTAATGTAAGTTGGCGTAGACCATCTGTGAAGTTGACATATGCATATCCCATACATCCTAGACATCAAAGAGATATAGCAAAATGACCTTATTGTTTCAATTAGATTTGATGATTGGGCATGGTTGCAGTCTTGCAGATAGATATCTTTTAAGGTTATGTGGATACGCAGCTCAGTTGCAGGTACATCCATGAAAAAAGGATGGGTAAAGAACCATATCTAGCAGACTAGCACTGTAATAGGCTAACAAAATTTGCGACTAGTTATTTCACTAGTCACCACACCTGTCTGACTTCAGATCTTCTGCACTTGAGCGTTCTTTTATTATAAAGAAACTAAAAAGGAATATCAAGAATAAGAATGAAGATACTTAAATAGTTCTTGCTATATGGCAAAGACAAAATTCATTGTTTGGTTGAGCACATCTGGTCAACCACCGATTCGTTTCACGTACGCCCGGAGGAGGAGGCACTAAAGTCACCTCAAGTAAGTCATATACTATATTAAATAAAATAAAGAGATTAGTGGAGGGGTAGTTTGGTATCTTATGAAGAGATTAGTGGAGGGGTTGTTTGGTATTTTGCATGGGAGGAGGTTTATTAAATAGGGTTAGGGTGTCGTAATGGGGTATTGTTTTTGTTGAATTGGCTTTGGCCTAGTGGGAGACATTCGGCAGTCTCGAATTGCCGTGAATTCTTTTCTGTTTATTCGTTTGCAATCCTCCTCAGTTTTGGATACCTTCGAATAAAAATCTCAGTGATCTCGGTTTTGATCAACATCATTGTGATAGTAGTGATTGTCATTGTTAGAAGCCTCGTTGACATCTTGTAGACCACAACTGACACCATCAAGATTTTGTAATGATCACAATGACCATATATTCTTTAACTTGAAAAAAATTCCAAAAACTAACAGTGGTCTTAAATTGGTAAGTGCTGCAACGTCTTTTGGATTCAGTAAATCGTATGATTTGTCTTCAAAATATATCGTACTACGTGGAGCGTGATTAGCAACAAATCGTCAAGTTGGAAAAAAGTACAAAAAGGCCTTTTTCAATTGAATACAGAATCTGAATTAGGCATACTAAGTGCAGTATACGAGTATGTTATTACTAAAAGATGTGCATGCCTAATAGAAAAGATTTGATTTCTGTTGCAGACTCAAAGTACTTGTTGAATACTTCAAAATGGGATTAGATTGCTTCTTTGCAGTCTGGTTTGTGGTTGGGAATGTGTGGATTTTTGGAGGCCATTCTTCTGCTTCTGATGCTCCAAACTTGTACAGGTACCAATCTTTTCATGTTATCCCGCGTCCTTATCAATCCTTATTTTGATTGCACGGCCATGTTATGGAAATTTTTGTTTTTGACAGGTTATGTTTAGTGTTTCTTACGTTTAGCTGTATTGGTTATGCAATGCCGTTCATCTTGTGTGCCACAATCTGCTGCTGCCTCCCTTGTATAATTTCTGTCCTGGGCTTTCGGGAGGATCCATCACAGAATAGAGGAGCCACTACAGAGTCGATTAATTCTCTGCCAACCTACAAATTTACGATTAAGAAGCATAAGCATGGACATAATAAAGAAACCCAATCCGCTGCTAGTGAAGGTGGGGTTGTGGCTGCAGGAACAGAAAGTGAACGTGTCCTATCTGGAGAAGATGCAGTAAGTTTTTCCTTCTCTTAATTATTTCTGGCTTTTTTCTAGCATTTGTGCTTTTATCTAAACATTTAGTTTTGCAACCGTGCTATCTTCAAATCTTTGTGTCTTATAGTTGCATCATCCTGGTCATAGATTCAGGTAACAAAGATGGAAATTCAGTTTCAAACTTTCATGTCTTCTTTTCCAAAGTTGGAAATGCTGTCTTAAAAGTCGAGTATACGGGGGTGCGTTTATGAATGGGTGCATATGCATCTCTGAACTAAATAGCCAAAAGAAAAAGTTATTTAAAGATTCATTCACTAATATGCAAGGTCATATGCATTAAAACCCAAGTTTTGTCGTAGTTTTACTTCGCCTACAGCGTCTGTATTAGCCCAAACCATCTGGAAAGATGACAAGTCCCCCTTTCTTTTTATGTTAGTCATAGAACTTGCATTTATGTTCATGTGAGCCTTTGTTTCTAACTTTGAAAACTGTAACTTCAAAAACTGTGAATTCTTATATTTCATTTTTTAGCAAAAGAAATGCCAAAATTTCCACTTGTTATACCCGTTCTTGCATCCCTGTGGATTTATAGTCCAAAATTTTAGGATACTGTCAATACCAACAGAGTGCACACCCTGGGGTGATTTTGGACTTTGGTTTGTATCATGTTTTCAAGAAAGCAAAATTCAGAATCTTTACTGAATCTATAGCTATTTCCCATCGTGATCTTATAACGCGTATTTACTCCACAGGTGTGCTGCATTTGTTTGGCAAAGTATGCAAACAACGATGAACTAAGGGAGTTACCGTGTTCTCACTTCTTTCATAAGGATTGCGTGGACAAATGGTTGAAGATTAATGCTTCGTGTCCCCTCTGTAAGAATGAAGTCGGGGAGAGCGTTTTAACTGAACCGCAATCATAGAAGTAAGCAAGCAAGGCAGGGGTTTTCTATTACACATTATGGGTGTTAATATGCATATGCTGCTTCTTTTAGAATGTGTGTGTGTGTGTTTGTTTCATAATGAAGTGTTAAGTTTTGCATTTCAAATCATTCTTTACTCAACCACTCCAAACCATACCAAAAGGTTTTTATGACATTATTTTTCAAAGAGTAAATTATGCTTTTTGGCCATGTGGTTTGTTAAAACTTGCGATTTTCCCATATGGTTTGAAATTCATTGCTATTTTCGTCTATGAGCCTAGCATAATAATCGAATTATAAGGACAAAAATAGCAATGAATTGCAAATTATAGGGATGAAACTTGTAATTTCTAAGACACATGGATGAAAATTGTAAGCTTTAAAAAATTATAGGGACGAAAAATATAATTTACTTTTTTTTTTTCAAATTACAAAATACACATACTCCACAAACCTCCTCCAATGAGATTGGACAAAACTCAAGGGGGATTTTTGTTTCGGATTCAATGGGGAATACTTAATTCAGCTCAGCCATGTATCAGTGGTTGTTTACGACTTAATTGATACATAGTGTCTTAATTCGGTTAGCTCCTCCCAATGTGCGTTTCATGTTTAGACTCAAAGCATTTTCTAAGGTTGCCTAAAAAACGTATTTTTTACATGTTTTTATTGATTTGTAGTGCAAATAGATTACTTTATTGGATGTTTGATCTTTTGCATTCATCGAGAAAATCATGTATTATTGATAAAAACCACAATTTGATATTTTTTTTCATATGTATGTTATTGTTCATCACAGAATTTTGAATACTTGATCACCGTCTATTTCTTATGGTACTTTTCAGGAGGTCATTATGAATGGTTAGTCATGTTTTTCGAACTTAAGAATGTCACCAACAATTCGTTATAGTACCCGATATTCGAGTGAGTCCCGATTACGAATTCATCCCTCCCTCCATATCACAAACTATAATAATTTGATTTGTTAATGTCTCTGATAACTAAAAACCAAAATTCTGAAGCATCCTTCACATTACAAATTGAGGCATGCCACAACATTATATGTATTATATTATAAATCATTTAACAAAAAAATTTAAAAGTCTTTTTTATGTATGAAGTACTGTTTATTAATGCAGATTACTTAAAATTCAAAACTATAAATAAACTGTGTGTAAATACAACTTATTAAAGCTTCATATTTGAATTCGTATAACTGACTGCAGATAAACATATAATTAAATACAAGATAAACATTTCATTTTAGATATAAAAAATCTAAAATATAATTAGGATAATCATTGACTTCTAACATAATACTTAATTATTATCTTTATAAAAAATTTATATTATTAAATNATTATGAAAAATGACAACTTTTTAATTTGTCATAGGAAACAAACGTCTTCTTACACGTTGCAAAATTTCATCATGAAAAAGTAATTAAATCTAAATTAAATTATATTAAAAAAAATTAGATTAAAGAAATTACACAAAAGAGTAAGATCTTTTAAATAGTTAATTGATACTAATTCGATATATTTATTTTCAAAATCTTATGATATCTTGAGATTTATATTTTATTCAAACATAAAAACATTATCGTTTTATCAAAATCATATAAAACCATGTTATAATATCAACAAAGACAAAAAATAAAACGAAACATTAAAATCAAGATGTATCATACCTGCATTGTATGATAAAAACCTATGTAATATCATGTCAGATGGACCAAGCTTTTAAAAAATCTATTATTTAATGGTTTTTTAATTAAACAATCTCTGATTTATGATTAAATTAAAAATAAAGTTCATATTATATGTTATAGTTAATAAATATATTTTTATATTTAAATGATAATTTTAATTTTAATTTTAATTACAAATTATTAAAATGTAAATTATCATATTAATTACAGTATTTTGATATTTAGTTACTAAAATTGTAAAAATCAAATTGTTTTAAGTTTTATTTTTGAGTAAACTGTAAATCTGGTCCATGTGGTTTGTCGAAAATAGTGCTTTTCATAAGCAGTTTTAAAATTACAATTTAGCTATCGTGGTTTGTAAAATGTCCGGATTTGGGTCTTATTTTTAATGACCGTTAAAAAATTCCATTAAATGAAAAACATTTTTGTCACTTCATCAATATATTTGTCTTTTACCCAATCAAAATCGATTTTATACTTTTGATTCATGTGGTTTTTGATTGGGTAAAAGACAAATAATCAATAAAAGGATAAAAAAAATTAACGACCTAAAGAGAAAAGGGTCATATCCATACATTTTTTCAAACCACGATACCATCTTGTAATTTTCAAACTACGAAGACGAAAAGTGTTATTTTTGACAAATCATGTAGACTGCTTTATTTCGTATAAATTATAGACAAAGCCATTTTAATAATTTTTAAATTGAAGTAAAAAATTGTCTTTATGCTTTTATTGAATCGTAAAATATATTAAAATTTGTCAAATAATTACTGATATAACAATGAAAATTATATTTCAAAAATATGTCTACACAGATATCATTAGGGTTTGTGATCTATGAAAATAAAACATCTGACGACTCTTCTGGTCCCAAACAAATTTATTAGGCTTGGAGAAGCCGTGAGCTACCTTAGAGATGGCCATGGGACGAGCTCAAATTGGTTCTGGTCCCAAACACAATTCCCGTAATCGGTCCTGGTCCCAACCAAAAACCCGAGGCCCTGTTAAGGTACTTTGTAACCAGTTATGGAGACTGGTCTCGGTCCCGGGCCGGGCCCAAATAGATCCTATGCATTTTTTTAAATCGATTTTTTACATTTTTTGAAGTTTTTTAATGAATACAAAAGTATTATTCCAATACATTTGAAAATATATAACCGGGTCAATTAAATACATTAAAAATACGTTTTTTTGCGAGAATAAGAGTCAAAATCATGAATTATAACAAGAATTGTAAACATTTGTGAGTTGGTATCTTTATCATGAATTATAACAAGAATTGTGAACATCTGTGAGTTGGTATCTTTTCCTATACACCATATATGACTTATCTATACTATGTTATAAAACATTTGACAAAAACTCTAAAAAACATTTTTTTATGCATAAAGTACTGTTTATTAATGCATATTACTTAAAATTCATGATTACAAGTAAATTGTGCATAAATACAACTTATTAAAGCTTTATGTTTGAATTCATGTAATTAACTGCGGATAAACATAATCAAATAGAAGATAAACATCTCATTTTAAAATATAAAAAATCTAAAATATAATTAGGATAATTATTGAGTTCTAATAGAATACTTAATTATTATCTTTATAAAAAAATATTATTAAACCTAAATTAAGTTAATTCGTTACGTTAAATTAAATAATAATAAAAAATTTGAATTAAAAAAATAAACAAACAAGAAATTTTAATTAGATAAATTGATACTGATATTGATATATTTTTTTGCAAATTTTATATGATATTTTCAAATTTATATTTTATTCAAAAATAAAAACATTATCGTTTTCTCAAAATCACATAAAATTGTATTATATCGACATGAATAAAAAATAAAACGAAACATTGAAATGAAAATGTGTCTCGATGCATTGCACGGGTACCCTTCTAGTATATAATAAATAGAGGGTAAATGCGACATAAAAATATCAAAATGGGAAAAATGGTCATATGGCCGTTGGGTATTGGCCATAAAACAATAATATTTTTTGAAAAATCGGGCCTCATGTGTTTGACGAAAAATGTAACCAGTCTCGGATCGGTGGTCCCAAACGGTCCTGGCCAAGCCGAGCCCATTTGACCGACTCTAGGGTACCTGGTTAATTAAAAAAACACAAAAATATTATATTTAAAAGAAATTACAATAAATCATCACTAAATTAGCTACCAATATTAAAAATCAAATATATATTTCTTAAATTAATTATAAAGATATAAATCTATTTAACAAATAAAAGTTCACTCGGAGTCGGATCAGGGGTGGATGGTGTCATCCCTGAGCGCACTTCAGATATAAATATAACTTTCCGTTTGTACTGTTTTACCAGTCAAAATCAGAAATCCTTGTCCTATTAGAACCGTATCTAGGAATAAAATTTTCATCTCAAAGTTAGGTTCAACCTAAGAAAGAGAAAAGTTGATATTTAATCTATACTATATTATAAAGCATTTGAGAAAAACTCTTAAAAACAATTTTTATAAGTAAAGTACTGTTTATTGATGCATATTACTTAAAATTAAAATTACAAGTTGAATGTGCATGAATACGTCTTATTAAAGCTCCATGTTTATAAGAAATCTAAAATATAATTAAGATAATCATTGAGTTCTAACAGAATACTTAATTATTTTCTTAAAAGAAGTATTTTATTAAATAAAAAATAAATTAGTTCGCCATTAAACTTCAATTAAATAGTTAAGTTGATAATAATATCGATTATTTTTTTCAAAATTTTATAATATCTTCAAATTTATATTTCATTCAAAAATAATTTTTTTTTTCAAAACTACATAAAATCGATAGAGCCAAAATATATGAAACATTAAAATCAATATATTTTCAAAAGAAATAAATAAATATTTTAAATCTGCCTTAAATTATTATTTAAATTAAAGGTATAAAACATGGTGATACTTTTACAAGAGTTTGTTAAGCCGAACCTCCACCTGGGCTGAGCTTACATTACACACTGCTCCGACGATCATGGCCGCTTTCACTAGACTACACGATTAATAACAGCCAAATTTAAGGGATAGAAAGAGATCGCCGAGGAGAGTAACCGGATCTATGATTCTTTTACGCCTGTTTCATCCACGGATCAGCAAAACCGGGTATGTATTTGTATCTATCCAATTATTACTTTTTCAATACAAAAGGTTCCCAATATAGGCGAACAGGGTGTAAAAATTATGCTGCTTGTTAAAACTAGGGGATTTTTCTTTTCTGATTTCTGAATGTCGGTATGATATTAAGATTTTTGTAGTAGTTGCAATTTAAAGAATTTGGAGGCATTGGTTTTGAGTAATGATCGAGTTTTTAGGGTTTTCTGTTGTTCTGTTCCTTTTTTTGAAAAGCTGACAACGATAGAGTATTGATATAATAAGGCGTTGTTTGGTTGGTTGTCCATTAAGTACTGTATGGATATAGTTGTCTGTGTGAATTAATATGTGTGTATATATTGGGAAGGTTTTTGGTTGGGAGGTTTTTTCATAGATTGAAGGAGCGTACTTTTCAATTGGGAGGGGATGGTTTGGAAAAACACTTTGCTTTCTGCATAAAGCTCCCCCTAGAAGCCTATTGAATAAGCCACTTTCTCTGTCAATAAGCCACTCATGTATAGCTGACCGAATAAGCTGCAAGTCTCATTAAGCTCATTAAGCTGCGAAGTTGGTTATAGACTGGCCAGGGTCTTAGCATAAGAGGCAATGTAATGTTCTGGAGACTTGAGATTGGTTGACTCATTTAACTTCTCCAGTTATGTATTTGTTCATGAAAGTTTAACTTTTGATGCATTTTGTGGTGGGCAGTTAAAGAATTTTATATGGAAAGATGAGTTCTTTCTCGATTACAAGGAAGAAGACGCCTTTTCAAAAGCATAGGGAAGAGGAAGAGGCAAAGAAGAAGGTAATACTTTTGTGGAGTTCTGTTACTTTCACATATACATACTTTTATCTTCATAAGATCATTGATGTTGGATTTGTTAAATTTTTATTTATATAGAGGGCAGAGGATGAAACAGCTCGTTTATATGCTGAGTTTGTGGAGTCTTTTCAAGGGGATAATGCACCTGGGTCAAAGGCTTTTGTTCGAGGAGGAACAATTAACCCGGGTGAAAAAGTGAAGGCTGATATTGAAGGTCAGTTAACACTAGAGGACCTTGATTAACTTGCTTCAAAATTCAGTTATTAAACATGTTGTTTGTTTAGTAGCATATGTATGGATAAATGAATGATTTATTTTACATGGACGCATTAATAAGCATATGGGCCTTCTTATTCATTCACGGATCGCAGGTGGAAATTCCAAAGATGTGGTATCTGGTTCAAAGAAGGGGAGTAGGTAAACAAATGCTTTTGATTAACCATGTTACAATGCTGATATCCTAAAGCATTCCAAGTGCAGTTCTTTCGTGGTGATGATATCATGAGAATCTACCTTTCTTGTTTAGTTTTGTAACTTTTAGAAACTAGGACACTTGTTATGTGTAGCTCTTGTTTTTTTTATGTAATTTCATGCTTCTTTTTTAGCATTATCTTCGAAGGAGCAAAGAAAGTTTCAAAAACCTTGATGAGATACCTAGAACTTTATAATGTTTTAACGCAATTTATGTGCAAATGGTATTCAGGTTTGCTTGTTTTTTAGGAACTTGGTGGCCTTAAATATTTGTATAAACATGCTCAATTGATGATTTTTGGAAACTATTAGCAGATAGAATCGATAATAGAAGCAGGGGTTCATATGCTTATGCGTGTGCTCCACAATCCAGTGAATGTACTCCATATTGCTAGTTTGTCTTTAGCAAGACACACTGAATTAAATGTATACATTTTCATTAAGTGCATTCAGATGATATATGGTACAACCAAAACCAAAACAACGAAACCCAGTCAATCCTACATGGAGTAGGGTCTCTGTCCCAAGGGGTAAAGATGTGGTACAACCACTTTGAGAAATTCAAATGATCATTTCTGTTGCTCAGATGTTGTATTGGTCTTGCTGGAAGACCCTCGAAGATTCACCACTGCTTTCCTAACCTTTGTAACCCACAACATGCAATTGTTGTACGAGTTTGACTTTGCTGAAGATTTTTCAAACATTTCCCTACCAATGACCACATCTAGCGCTTTCAAAGGCTTCAGTACCCTAGTTGATGTCTTTTCCATGCAATCACTATTGTTTTATATGGCATCTTTTGTGATCTTGAATGGCCACTGTATACTGTTTGAAACTCAATGGTGACTTGTAATTTCTGTTAAGTATATAATATTTATATACGGTAAATGAAACTCACATGCACTTCCTGCCTTTGGTGAGGTCGGAACCTTGACCTCTAGGAAGGTTGGGTTAACGGATACCTGCTAGGCCAAAGGCCCTTTGATACCTTCTTGTAGTCTTTCAGCCCTATATATGAGTTGCCAAAGAGCCTTCTAATCTTTGGTCCAAGTCATGGAGGCTGTCTGTGCATTGCCTAATGTTCGATAGTTTGTTGGAGCTTATGACTCCAGTCTGGACTTTCACTTGTTTCAAAATGTTAGCGGCTTTTCAATTGGTTTCTAATACATATTTATTGATTCTAGTTCCTACTTTCTGTGAAGAGAATGAATCTTCTTTTTGAAGGATAGGAAAAAGGGTCCGGATCTCCAGTGGGAATGTTTTTAGAAGTTCTGGAAATTTGTTGAAATTTCTAAACATATCAAAAAAGTAGGGATCATTTTGTATGTTTTATTAGTTGAGGGGTTATTTTGCAAATTTGGTGACAATATATGGTCCAATTTGCAATGGTTGAAATGTGATAGTTGTGTGAAGATGTCAAACAATTGAAGGATCTTTTCGCCTTTGTTACAAGTTTTAGGGCGATATTTTCACGAAACAAGGAAGTTCATGATTCTTCTTTTAATTGGTCTAGTTTAATAATTGTGTTCAGCTATTGGTTTCACTGTTCATCTCAATGGTTGAGAATAGTTAGATACTCTTTCCATTAAGTTTTATTTTTGATAGCATACTGTCTCTCTGTTGAGTAATTATGCCATTTGAAACTAGTGCCGGTGATATCTGATAGCATCCAACTTCTGGACAAAGCAACTCTGCTATGGGGGATGGGAGAAAAAAACAAAAGTTAGTTGCATGCATTCACGTAAATCCAGTGTTGCAACTTGGGTATGGCAAACACGAACGTTCCCAGTTCACATATTTGTTCTATTGTTTAATTCGTTCCTTCTGAAATGGTTGCCTTAAAGTCATAATATTGAGATATGCCTTGGTGAATTGAAGTGGATAATGATGGAGAAGAAAGTAAAGTTAATTTGGAAAAGCTAATGAATCTGTGGACTAGAACTGAATGAAATCCTAAACCCAAATATATTTTACGGATTAACAAGTAGTGGTGGTCACTAGACAGTAGACATCATATAATATAGTGTCCCTCCCTAATGGAAACCATGGGGTTTATTGATCAAATATCAATATATAAGGTTAATCGGGGACATCAACATATGATATGATTGCAACTAACAACAATTTCAAGTTGTAAGTCCTAATCGGTAAGAAAACGAGTTTACGATGTATGATGTTAATGACCCTACATAAAAATGTGAGGGGCTGTTTGGTTCAGACTGAGGAATGAAAATCGGAATGAAAATGAAAATGAGAATGACAGAGGATGAAAATGGGAATGAATTTTCGTTCCATCCTAGTTCAACCTGAAATGAAAATTTGGGATTGTGCGGGAATGGACCCATTATATTTATATAAAATCAAACAGTTACTTTATTTTCATTCCTATTGGTTACTGCTTAATAGCCCTAACCAAACACCCTCTGAGATAAAGTTGCGAACACAAAGGTCGAGAGAGAGAAGATGTGCTTTGTTCTTGAAAACATGTCCAATGAGCAAGACCATCCCTTAGAAATTTCTCCTATGCCGTTGATGATTTCTAGAGTTCACTATTGGCTGCTTGCTTCTTATTTTTTCAACAAAAATGAAGGCATGAGTTAGAAATTACTTGTTGTTTGGACATGTGCAAGGACAACTGTACCTGCCATGCTTAGAAGTAGTTGCATCATCCCATAAATGTTGCAAGGGATGCTCGAATATAAGAAGGATCTGCTCCTGTATTTACAGTGAATGATGTAGCTTTTAGGAGGTATACCGTATATTTATAATTGGCTTATTCTCGAAGAGGGTTTTGGGTATCAAGTCTTAAACTTGAGTGATGACAACTAGTTTTTGTTTGAGTTTAAGCTAAAATTTGTTAAAAACCTTAGTGACATAGAGAATAACATTATTTGATGGATGATGTGGGATTGTTCCTAGATTCAACCTTCTAATAGGATTTATCTGTATTATAAAATGAGGCAACTTCAATCTGTTGGTGCTTTCTGAGACCATGATTTGGAAAGATAAATTGATGAATATCTTTAGATGGTCCATGTCATTAGCAATCCCCGGTCTTAGCAGTAAACTACTTGTTCCTGGATATAGTATTGGAACAAATGGACAATCTTGTTATAATCATCCATGTCATAAAGGGTTCATTGTAGAAGTTCTGAGATTCAAAAATAATGTCACTTACAATGATCTCTACAGGTTTAGAACCAAAATTTCAGCTGTCAACGAAAGCTAAAACAATCACCACCTAATATCATCTTCACCTGAAAGTAGACTCAAGTTCAAATGGATCATTTTGTTTCCGATCTCCATGGTGGTCATATGAGATTTATGTTTCTTCTATGTGAGCAAAGAGGAATTTACTTCCAGAGAGCTAAAGTATATGGGGAAGTGGATGAGACCTCTGGCAAAGAGAGCTAGAGTATATGATTGATGGGAGAAACTAATATGGGTTAAATATGTATGTATTTAGAAAGGAACATGATATGTGGTCATTTCTTGGCTTCTTGCATTTGAGGGGATCGAAGTATCGAGATGGGTATGTGACATCTTGGTGGTTGGAAAAAGATGAAACTAGGAGGAAGTCGAAGCATGGGGAACAACCAGGGTGATATGGTTGTTCTAGGTTGGCCAGTGAGGGGAAAGCCGACCATATTATCATTCTGCTGCCAATCGCCTCAAATATGCTTTTTGACCTTCATCTTATGCATGGAGGCGACAAAGTTCCACACATTCATATGTGGCAATCATCTTGAATATTGTACCCATACGGTGCCTTGAGTAGCCTCCATCTTACCTAATGTGACTGCTTCCATGATTATAGAGCCCTATCTCGAGAAAGCTTCATGCTTTGTTTCCATAGGGTACATTTTATGACAATCCAACGCTTTCTTTGGAACTTCACCTTATTCATATGGTGATGAGTTGTCAACTGGCCATGCTCACGAGCCTTTGAGTTCCCTTGTATAGATTTCTCTGGAAGTTTATCATAATATATGGTAACCAAGAACCTGAGGGTATGGTAGCCATTAGCTTTTTCTACTTTATCAAATGTTGGAATGATAAGGGCCATGTATTAGGTGTGATCACAACATGTGTACGTAATAGTTGAAAAACACTCTTATCTGGACCTTAAGTCATGGTTTTTGTTTAGTTACTATATAAATTAGGTAGCACAATCTATTAGGTGTTTGGGTGGCATGCAATGGTATGACATGGGATTTTTGTCTGTGGATGTGTGTTTATGTATAGACACACGCACGCCTATCTCATGTAGATGGTCTAGAATATGTGATTATTTGTTGAAAAATACACATCATGTTTATTTCTACAGGTATGTTCCTTCTTTTATACCTCCTCCAATGGCAACCAAGGGTAAAGAATACGAGAAAAAGGTTAGTGAGCTGATCAAGATTTCTGTTGTCTCTTCTTATTGCTCATTTCTTGTGCTTTATTCTTTATTCTTATAGCTAAATGGTTTGTACTGCCTACAGGAGGAGGAGAGGCCAAAGGAGAAAGAGAAAGGGAAGTCAAGAAATATAGACCATTTTATGGAGGAGTTGAAGCATGAGCAAGAAATGAGGGAAAGACGAAACCAAGAACGCGAACAATGGCGTGATGGACGTCACACTGATACTTCAACTGTAAGGAACATCTGCTATCTGAATGAATATGAATCTGATCAGTTATGTGGACTGTAATGGCTTGCTAGGCCATGTAGGCATGTATATATGCATATTTTACTTGTAAAGCATTAATGTCTGGTCACCAGAGCACATTTGAAGACTTGCTGTATTCCATGTCAGTCACGATATGTTGACATGGCATTTTCTTTTTTGACGTATATACTTTGTGTCGTGAGTTCTTTCTGTACTAGTACCACTATTTTAGGTATCTTCTTCATATGCGTTTTTAAGTGTATTCTTCATAATTCATATCTGCTTGATCTATTATATCATCTAACATGTAAACATTAGTCCAACTACTTCAAGATTCTTTCCATGTATGTACCATACTCTTGTTTTAGGTCGTGCATATCTGCTGTTACTTTGTCTTAACCATGCATTGTGTGAGATGAAATGTTCATATAATTGATTGTTTTTTAGTGTTTGACTGTCATTCTCTTGCATTCTGAGCATATCTTCCTATTTGTTTTGCATGTCTTCCATCAATTCAGCTTCACCAAAAGTAATTGAAGTACCTGAATAATGTCTATACCAAACTCTAGTTTTAAATCATGCTTTTTATTATGTCTCTCATGTCTCAGCCATCTAGTCGGTTTGATGATTTTCCTGATGATTTTGATCCAAGTGGGAAGCCTGGATCCTTTGATGATGGAGATCCTCAGACTACCAATCTATATGTCGGAAATCTTTCACCTCAGGTTAGGCAATGATGCTACTGTGGTGCTTTTGATTCCATGGATTGGTAATCTGACTATTTCTTATCGATGCTAAAACATGCCAGGTAGATGAAAATTTTCTCTTGAGAACATTTGGAAGATTTGGACCCATTGCGAGTGTGAAGATAATGTGGCCTAGGACTGAAGAAGAGCGCAGGCGACAAAGGAATTGTGGCTTTGTGGCATTCATGAATAGAGCAGATGGACAAGCTGCAAAAGACGAAATGCAAGGTTGAACTTTTTTCGATTATGATTATTGTTTTAACTTTAATTCCTGTATTATCTAATCTCTTGCGAGCGAGCGGCTAGTGCCGTTTGAAATCTTTCTAGTGTGGTATGGTAGGGAAATATGATAGGATGGGGGGAAGTTTGGACACACACGCGTGTATATATATGTATACAGATAGATATGTGTGTGTTTGTTAGCAGCTACTGGGTACTGACTTGAAGGTTCATCTAGGTCTTCTTTGAAACTAAATTGAATCATGCGTAATGATTTAACATAACATAAACAATGAAAAATATATTTTCTTGCAGGGGTGATCGTTTACGAATACGAGTTGAAGATTGGGTGGGGTAAATCTGTTTCCCTCCCATCACAAGCACTCTCTGCTCCTCCCCCAGGACATATGGCTATCAGGAGTAAAGAGGTATGTAGCATTTCATATATATACATATAAATATATATGCATATATATATTAGGGTTGGGTTCCGGTGAGAATGGAAGTTGTGGTGAGAAGGGTAAGAAGGGATCTCCACCCTTGGATCAATCCTAATTAGAGATCAACACTAATACGGTGCACCGAGATGCACCGTATCAATTCCTATGATAAGCTCAATTCATGGGGTGGGGGTGAGATTAAAAGTGATCAAGGAGCCAGATCCCTTCTTACGCTTCTCATCTCAACCCTATTCTCACACGATCCTTCTGCTATATATATTATATATATACACCATTAGCACCAGAAGCTGTCTTCACATGCATGAGATTTCTTGAGGCTACTGTTGAATATAATGACTCACACAGATAGATCTTGTGATGTTTGAGCAAGCCCTCATGATTTTGCTTTCAATTAAATTAATTTTGTGATATGCAGGGTGCCACTGTAGTCTTGTCTGGGCCATCTGGTCCTCCAGTTACTTCTGTTCCAAGCCAGAACTCTGAGCTGGTAGGTTAACCTGACAATTTAAGTTCTTCTGATTTCTTGCATATTGATTCTGTATTTCCTTTTCATAAATATTAATTTATTTTATTTAAATGTGGAGTCTAGAAAAGTAGGCATAGGTACTCATGTGATTGTAGCATGGGAGTAGAGGGTTGGAGGTTTTATGATAGCAGATTCTCTCATTGTTTTCCATATCTTTTGTTCATTGGAACACTGAAACATGACATGACATACAACTTGGAATGGTACTGACCACTAGCATCCATCTCTTCCCATCCTTTCCTCATGTTTCTGTATGGTTCTATTATGTTTGAGTATGTTATTTGTTGAACTTTTGATCCTACTATTATCTATTGTGATCTATTGTATTCAGGGTAGTTTACCCAAATCTGAATATCATTCCATTGCATTAGAATTTATGTCTTGTTAAGTGATTGAGAGAAACAGTATATGTAATTCTAGTTCTTCAAGTCAGTGTACCCACCAACTGAATAAGGGAATACCAGTTACGTACTCTGAGAATCCCAAGATAAGGCAGCCCTTTTTACACAAAGTGATACATCATACATTCCTTTCTTTATGGCGACAATGAAGCTTTCAAAATTATAAGTAGAAATAACCAAGGTTACCTATTTGTTCTGCTTTTCAGCACCAATACTTCATAGCAAAAAAAGCTTCTTTGCACATCTTTAAATTTGTTTCTCATCCTAAAAGAATATCTCTTGACAATCCAAAATTGGTGCATAGGTTCTTACTCCAAATGTACCTGATATAACTGTCACTCCACCTGAAGATGATCATCTTCGGCATGTGATTGATACAATGGCTCTTTATGTTCTTGATGGAGGTTGTGCTTTTGAGCAAGCTATAATGGAGAGGGGCCGTGGAAATTCTCTTTTCAGTTTCTTGTTTGAACTTGGCTCAAAGGAGCATACTTACTATGTTTGGAGGCTGTATTCCTTTGCGCAGGTACATACTTATATCTTAAACTGAGTTCATCTTTGCAGTTGGGTTGAACTTCTGTGTGTTTGATATCTCAGATGTGACACGGATGATGTATTTACTTCTTGTGGCACTGGCTGCATGCTTCTGTGCTCATCTAATGTAGTTCGCATTTAAGATATCTCGTCTGCTCTTAATCATACTTAAGAATTCACAACAGAAAGCTATTTGAGCATAAGTACAAACTGTAGCTTATATATCAATGCTATTTGACAAGTGTACTAGGAATTCCACTTAGTAATTTCATTTACCGTAATCTTAATAGAGTATATATATGTGTGAAAAGTAATCTTAAAGTACATACCTTGTGAGTGAGGAGCATAGGACACCCCATAAAGGGTAAGGGAAGCTGCTAAGGGATGGTAGGGTTCATGTCCAACAGTTATTCGAAGTCCACATATTATATGAATGGAAGGATAATATATGATCTTCTGAAAGTGCAGGGTGATACTTTGCAACGGTGGCGAACTGACCCTTTCATCATGATAACTGGTAGTGGGAGGTAATGTCTTACTAACGAATATTCTGATGCTTAGTTCGCCAAGCATGTACATGTAGTTCCACCATCTTTAGTTCAGGTCTTTGCTAAGTACTAAAGTACTAATGATCATATAATTATATGATGAGATTCGGGATCCATAAGTGATATGTGAAATTACTGTTTGATATGCTTGTCAGTCTCTTATGCATCGAGATGAAACTGGCAGCCAGCATTCCTTCCCTTCTGATGTTTGTCTGTTTACATTGCACTGGCCTATGAGCACAAAACTGACTGAGAATAGAAACAGATTATAAAGATATAACATGGGTTATTGACATTTCATATTTTTATGGCATGAGCAGAACATTTTGATAAAAAAATAAGTAGAAAATTACAAACAAAATCCTTCACAAGAGGGATTTTCTCAACTTCCCATAACTCTGGTAAAGTTCTTATCTTTCATAATGCATTTCTGTGATCTGCAAATTATAATTTGTACATATGTTTTCACAGTTCTGATGACGCTCGACTGGTTCTAAAGATTTATTTGGCATAGACTATGGGTTGTAAAACTATGTACTGTTTGTTGTTTAGATGGGTGCCTCCTGCTTTGCCAACATCTAAGAGCCCAGAGCACGAGGAGTCTGGAGCCACATTTGCTGCCGGAAAAAGCAGGGTACTGGTTATCTTTCAACTGTTTTTCCCTAGTGAAACTTATTTTAGTTTAACATGGTGAAGCTGTTTATTATGTTTTAAAAACATAAAACAGCGTGCGGAACCAGAATGGACACTGACTGATGCACAGAGAGATGAATTTGAAGATATGCTTCGTGCTTTGACATTAGAAAGAACTCTAATCAAGGAAGCAATGGGTTTTGCATTAGACAACGCTGATGCTGCTGGAGAGGTATAGTTGATTTTTCTTCACCTACCCATGATGCTTCCCTCAAAATCTAAGTCCTTCGTATTTGTGTGTTGGTCATTCACCTCCATTTACTTACAGATAGTTGAAGTTTTGACCGAGTCATTGACACTTAAAGAAACACCAATACCAACTAAAGTTGCAAGGCTCATGCTTGTCTCGGATGTTCTTCACAACAGTAGTGCTCCTGTAAAGAATGCATCGGCGTATCGCACCAAATTTGAGGCAACTCTGCCAGATATAATGGAAAGCTTTAACGACTTATATCGAGGTATCACAGGAAGAATAACTGCAGAGGCCCTTAAGGTAGCTTTATATATGGCAGAAGCAATTGCCTCCCCGTTGTTTGTTTTGTTTCTAATCAAAATTTGACTCTCATGCTCAGGAACGAGTTCTGAAAGTTCTTCAGGTATGGGCCGACTGGTTTCTTTTCTCGGATGCATATGTCAGCGGGTTACGAGTTACGTTTCTTAGATCAGGGAGCTCTGGTGTTGTTCCTTTCCACTCGATTTGTGGTGATGCACCAGACGTTGAAAAGAAGGGCAACTCTAATGACATAGGCGGTGGTGGAAAGATCAATCCTGATGCAGCATTGGCAATGGGCAAAGGAGCTGCTATGAAAGAACTTTCGAGTCTTCCTCTTGCTGAGCTGGAAAGACGATGCAGACATAATGGATTATCTCTTGTTGGGGGTAGGGAAATGATGGTTGCACGATTGCTTTATCTGGAAGAGGCAGAAAAACAGAGGGGTTATGAGCTTAATGATGATTTGAGGTATGTTCAGAACAATGCAAGTTCTGGTGGGCACCTGAGTATACCAAAAGAGGTCGATGTAGAAATGAAGCCTGTGGGATTGTCAGGATGGACAAACCGTGTCGAGGATGATACTCAATCAGAAGGCAAAGGTTCTTCGTCTTTAGCCTCAATGATTAATATCCCACATCCTGAGCTGAAAGCATTCCCAAATGAAACAAAAGTGGAATCCGTATTGCCAGCCTCAAAGTGGGCGAGAGAGGATGACGAAAGTGACGATGAACAAAAGAGAAGTACTAGAGATCTTGGATTGAGTTATTCATCTTCTGGAAGCGAGAATGGCGGTGGTGGTCTTGGCAACACAAAAGATATGGAGTTTGCAAGCAATGCAGGTATTTCAGCACATTCTGATAGTGGGCTAAATGAAGAGCAGAGGTATTCTCATACTTTCTTGTTAGTTGAATGGATTATTTGTTTTTATGTAAACATAAAGTTTTCTGGAGTCCTTTTGCAACTATAATGCCTGCTGAGCATATGAGCAGGCAAAAGTTGAGGCGTCTTGAGGTTGCATTGATGGAGTATCGTGAATCCCTGGAAGAGCGGGGGATAAAGAACATGGAAGAAATTGAAAGAAAAGTAGCAATCCATCGGAAACGGCTACATACTGAATATGGCTTAATGGACTCTAGTGAAGATGCGTCACACAACAGTGAGTTAAAGCATTCTGTTTAATTTTTTTCCTGGTTGATAGATTAATATGTTATGAGATGATATTTTCTTTGAATTGTTTATCCTTTACATAGCTGTACATAACTCCATTCCAAAGTTGTTTTATTTTCTTCTGGTTTATCGTTTTGTTACATTACTGCAGGAAGATCTTCCATGGAGAGGAGGGAGAGAAGAGATGGGTCCCGTGAATCTTCAAGAAAGCGGCACCGCAGTCATAGTGGCGGGGAAAGCCCACAGCATAAATCATCTAGCAGAGACAGGGAGAGGGAGAGTGATGTTAGAGAGCGGCATCACAGGATTAATAGAAGTTATGATCAAGAAAGTGAAAGGGGAAAGGAACGAGATCGTGATAGGGATAGGGATAGAAGAAGAAGAATGAAATGAGTTGAGAACTCTTAACCTTCCTTAATCAGTACGATTGGATAGCGATCGATATGTGTAGAAAAAATGAACCCTTTTTTGTTTTAACAGAAAGTTGCAGGTTTTCTTTGTGCTGAGAGTCTGATTTCGGAGACAGAAGAGAAAATCTGCAGGATACTAGTAGGACGGGCTGAAGACGAGGCATCGATTCGGTTTTGGGAAACATTTAAGTGCTGATCTTCAGTTCCAGGTAATAAATTAGAGTTTATATACCTTTTCGGATATAAGGGAACAGTTGTATCATGAGAAGAAAGTAGTTTGCAGATCTAATGATCTTTGGGACGGTCTTTATTATCTGTGACATTTGCTAGATTAGCTTCACATGTTATAGGGAACATGAGCTTCAACTTCTGAATATAAAATCTATTTGAGGCCAAGGTGGCATTTGTCAATGTATGTATGTTTGTGCATTCAAAACCTATGTACATATATACATAACATATATGGTATGATGGTAGTGCTTGCATAGTATTTACTTACACATGCATATAAATGTACATACATGCATGCATATACCTATGGAGGTACACAGATGCACAAGAACGCAAAGTCATACATACATACATACATACATAGATACACACATGCACACTCATACTCCTTGAAATATGTATATACTTACGTATAGGTATATTCATCCCTACCAACATACATACATGCACATAACACATATATGTATATACATTACATACATGCATACATGGTATTTACTTACACCTGCATATGCATGTACATACGTACATGCATATAGCTATAGACGTGCACAACTACGCAGACGCACTAGTAAGCATGGTCATGCATACATAGAGATGTATATATGCACAAACATACACATATGCACACTCATATGAAATTGTGATAATCTTGAGAACTAGTGCACTGTGTGCTATTTCACGTGATTTTGTTTCCATCTATGATTTGAATTTAGTGTATTGATGAATATATATTTGTTTCACATATATTCGTTTCATAACGTGAACACTTCTAATGTGTTTATGAAACAAAAAATACAACTAAAAAGTTTCACATTGTGAAACGAATACATAAGAAACAAACACATTGTGAAAAAAATATATGTTAATCACTAAATTAAATCCAAGCCATAGATGAAAACATATCACGTGAAATAGCACACACTGCACCAATTCTCAAAGTTTTTATTGGGTTCTCAAATGATTAAGCCCCTGTATATACATATATGTATATGCATACATATACATATATATACAAATACATACATATATATGTACATATACACACATATATATATACACACACATAGGTTTGAGTTCTGGTGAAAAGGAGAATTAAAGTGAGAAGTGTAAGAAGGGATCTCCACACTTGGATGCATGTTAGGATGAGATGTACTGAATCAATCCACGTGTCAAACACGATTCATGGTTGGGCTTGAGATTAAAAAGGTGATTAAGGTTCCAGATCATTTCTTACGCTTTTCACCTAAACACATACACACACATACAGATATAGATACATATATATATATATATACACATACATACATACATATATATACATATACATACGTACATATAGGTGGAGGTTCAAACAAGAACACCTCTGTTTTACAAGAATGTGAGAATATTTATAGGCCTCCAAATATTTAACCCACAATTAAAACTAAAAGAAAATAAAGTAATTAATTAAGGATAATCATGTGATTAATTTCGTATTTATCTGTAATTTCAGTGACATCCTAATCTCTAAAATCACATACATATAGTACACTAACCGATATCAAATAATTATCACAACAAAATGACATAACATTAATATAGACATGGTCATCGTTGGTTTTTGATTATCACAATATTATCACATTGTTATCACAACAAAAATCACATAATTATTAAATGATTATCACATTAAAATCACATCATAAACAATCTTCAATATATCAAATCATTGTCACAGTATTATCACGGCAAAATGAAATCATTGTCACAGTATTATCACATCATTATCGACAACGGATACAATGATATAAAAATTCTCCAACGACAATAACAAAATTAAAGGGATATAAAGATAAATCTAGGATAATAGAAAAATATGGATAAATAATAATTTATTTTCATTTATTATATTTTTTTTATTATGTATTAATTAATTTTTATTTTCATTTATTCTACTTTTTTAACGTGTTAATTAATTTGGAGGCCCAAAAGTGCTCTCGCATTCTTGTAAAACAGATGTATTCTCGTTTGAATTCTTCCCTATATATATATACACACACACACTTAGAGTTAGTTAATAGACGGGTCGACCCGCTATACCCACCCTAATCTAGCTGGCTTGGCTTACCATTATTGAAGAAATGAACGGCCGTGACTGACATTTTAAAATTAATGGACCGGCATAAGTGATGGGAAATTAATTTGAGTAGGTCCGCCCAGCCCGTTAATATTTTTATAATAATTAACTTTTATAATTAAAATTTACAAATAAATTTGAAAATTCTTGACACTCATCGATTCCTAATTAATTATGACTCGTGATAATAACACTCTTTAAAACTCTAATTAATTATGACTCGTGATAATAGCACTCTTTAAAACTCTAAAAAGTAAAAACATAAATATCTCAATTGATCAATTCCTTTATCGCTACTCTGCATTTTGCGAAACAATTCTTTTTCTAAATTACGTACATTGTTATGTATTTACATCTAATTTTAAGTTGAAAAAATTATTATGTATTTTGAATTATTTTACATAACCTGTGATCTTTTATAAGTATTGTTTTCTTAAAGATATAAAAAGATTTTTAGGCCTATTAACCTGTGGGCAAGTCGGCCCGTTTATAGGGCGATTATAGGTAGGTTATCAAGCCAGTAAAAATGGGGTTTGAGTTTGCCATATCAGATTCACTGGACAAGAAAAATAAGTTAGCTCGGGCCCAATCCAAACTAGCAAATGATCAGCTTTGATATGTATTTTTTTTTTTTTTTTGTCGTTCTTAGGGATCGGAACGGGAACGGGGCAACCATGGGCGGGATTCGACATCTCCATGCCCGATTATCTTACCCTTTCCCATCTCTAATGGGGACGCAGATTGATCAAAACCCCTCTCCTTTGGAATACGCGTCATTTGTGGCGGAAACATGTATAATTAAGTATACTGTTACAAACGTCGTTGAACCATATCTCATACTTATTTTGTTGTAATAAGAAATTCAAATAAGTTAATAACTTCAGAGATTGAAGATGGAATGAATAGCATCAAGATCGAAGGAATCCTCTTTACAACCGCGCTACCTAACTAATTAACTAACTGACCGGCCGGAATACAAAACTACGAAAAGATACAACCTAATTAACGACTCGTATACGCATACATGACCTTGGAGTTGCTACCGATATAATCTTTCTGGTGTCTACACCATCATCATATAGATGGAGGAACCGTAACATATATATGTATATATATACTCATGATCACAGATCGAAGTCCAAAATCCTGGAGGAAATGGTGGCAGCAAGTTGTTGAGTGAAATGAGGGTCTTTTGTTAGACAATCAGTCATTTTTTGAACCAAAACTTGATCAAAGGCCTTTGGCACCACCATTGATCTTCTTTCCTCACTAAATATCTCGTGTTGGTTGGCTAGAGCGTATGCCGCCTCCTGCTTACTGCTTCGGTGGTTATGCTCTCCTTCATACGTCGCAACAACAACACCAGCATCATCCACACTTCTTTGCACCTGATCAAAACAACATATACATACATATATATATGTATATATATGGTGGGTGTCTTTAGCTAGGGGACCCTCATGACTTAAGTAGTTCTTTTTGTAATCTTGAAGGTATATATGTTTGTTTATGTGTGTGTGTATATATATAAAGAGAGAGAGAGAGAGAGGTGTTGTTACCTTCTTCTTGACTGGGCATGTTGGTGCAAAAGAACACTTGTAGTAAGCTCTAGGAGATGGGTTATCTCTGGTCACCTTTTGCCCATATTTTCTCCATTGGTATCCATCCTTCACTACCTATATACATATAAATGCATGCTAAGAGATATATAAACCCTTTGAGTCAAACTCCCGTTTCCTATTTAGGTGAGAAGGAGAGTTAAAAAGATCCTCATCCTTGGATGAATATTAGGATGAGATGGATCGGATCAATCCCAGTATAGGTTTGAGACTATATATATATATATATATATATATATATATATATGCTTCCATAATCACCTTAAAAAGGTACGTACGTGCATATATATATATATATATATATATATATATATATGTTGACGAATTCAGACAAAAAGAAATGAAGTACCAGGGTTTTATCGGATGGATCTGTTCTAACATAAACTCTTTGAATGCCCGTCTTGGGTAAGTTGTCCTCATTTGGCCGGTTCCAGGAGTTTTGTTCGATAACCGTCTCATCCAACTTCCGTTTATTTGGATTTGAGACTAATAATTCTTTGTCTTGCATTAGTTTCTTGACCTGAGTTTGGAGAGAGTTGTTATGGCCCCATATAACTGTAAGCATCTCCTTCAGCTTCCTGTTTTCGCTGCTTAATTCCCCAACCATACCATGATCAACCTATATACAATTAACCAAGAAACCCAATACAAAACACCACTCATTCCCTGATTCATGATGATCAGTTGTATATAGAAACTATAAAAGAACTTCAAACACACACACACACACACACACACACACACGTGTATATATATATATATATATATATATGTATACATAACCACATACCTGTTTTTCAAATGAATAATCCTCCTCTTCCTCCCCATCATCATCGTAAAAACGAGTTTGAACTTCAGCAACCTCAACCTACAATAAGTAAAGATATTGTTAAACTCAAATGCTTGAATGAATATATATATATATGTATGTATGTATGTTAAATTCATGTACTTACTGGGGTATGATGATCATGAGTGGTTCTGGGGAAGGGATTAAGATTGAGATCTATGGCAAGTGATGTGGCCACCATTGGTATAGGTTAATTAATTGGTCAAGCGATTGAAGGAATTCCCAGAAAGGTAAAGAGTTCTTATAGGAATTCATTATGAGATGAGAAGTCAAAAGTCTTGTTCTGGTTGTTATTGGTTCATGCATGAAACTTCAAGGAAATAGCGTTGCCTTATAAGACAAATTTACTTTGTTGGACTTGTTCGCCATTCATTCCAGTCCACATAATCAATACAAATTTGCAAAACCAATCCCTAAATGACTCCACACCACACCACACCACACCACCCCACCTATATATTCACATGTGATATCTATAGGCAAACCACAGGCTTAAGTGCACATCCATCCATCCTTGGTTTAACCACTTAATCACATAGACATTCTCATGTTTTCTTGTTTTATACATATCGACTTGTTTTTGCATGTACGTGTGTGTATATATAAATATATGAATGATTGTTTGAGAAGAAGAATTAAGATGAGTTGCTTAAAAATAATCTGTATCTTTAAATCACTATTTTAAACGTCTAATTTAATGGTTAAGGGTATAGCCAAACTTGTGATGTAACCATGCTACCATCATCATGATGACATCATCATCATCATCATGTACCATCAAATATCAATCATGTCGTAGAAATAAAACAAAGACTTCCTTTCTTTCCTACTCTAACCAACTTTCCAAGTCAATGCATACAAATATTTGTATATATCAACACTTTGCTGTGTTTTTATTATTTTATATATTAAATAATATATAAATCGTGGCTTATTCAAGTTTTAAATATAATATATATATATATATAGGGTATATTTCTTTTACAAMCKTGTGCATTTGTACAACCTTTGCAACCCAATTAATTGAGATATTTATAGAAATGATTGGAGTTCATTTATTATRATTTDAATATTTATGGAATATGAATAGAGTTTATTAATTATGATTAATACTTTATATTAAGAAACAGTTAATTGATTAAAAATTGAATGGTTGAGATTGATTAAAAATTGAATGGTTGAGATGAGGGTTGTATAGGGTGTAGGAATGACAAATGGTGTAGAATAACATCCCTCTATATATATATATATATATATGAATGTATAACAATAACATTTTTTTCTTAAAACGTTTCACACGCATCTGTAATAAACTTGTTAATACTTATCTAATTTATAAAATGCGCCAAAAACTTTTATATATTATATAACATATATGAGTTGAGTTTACGTGAGACCAGACTGTTTTCGTGAGACCATTTTTTTACACTTGAAACTTTACAGCGAAACGTTGTAAAGGTAAAAGAAAAGCCGAACATTCACAGCAAAAACACTGTGAATGTTACTTTCACAGCGTTTTTTTGTGAAGTTTCAAGTGTAAAAAATAGTCTCATACGTCTCACGAAAACAAACTTGTTTCATGTAATCCCAAGTCTAAACGCATATACAATATTGAAATTTAAAAATAATTAATACTTATATTACACGTGATACGACTTGTCCCAACAAATACACTACCCTACGAAAATTTCCAAAACATGTCCCATCACCAATAATACAATACAAAAGGAAAACAATATATATATATATATATATATATATATATAAAGACTTTTTTATAGTGAATATTGAAAGACACAATATATTGATGATTTATTGAGATGGGACCTTCAAATATGATTTTAATTAGGGGGGAATGAATCAGGTTGAGTTGGATTGTGGTTGAATCCATTTATTAAACAGATTGAAAATTTCAACCCAAATTAATCCAACCTATTTGATTAAATGAGTTGAAATTTTTTAACTTAATTCAACCTGTTATTTAAATGGGTTGACAGCGGGTTGACCTGTTTTGATTTTTTTAATCTAACATGTTAAATAAATGGGTTTAACCTGAGTTGATCCATTTAATTTTAAAATTTTAAATAAAAAAAGACTAGACTATTTTTTTTTTTTTTTTGGAATAAAACGTAACTACAAATACATACAAATTGTTCAAAGTTTGAATAAAACACAACCACAATAAATATATTGTTCAAAATAAGTTGGATTGGATTTTGGAGACGATAATGGAGTAATGGACTAAAATAGGATTTCATGATGATTAAGAGTAATAGAGGCGATTGGAATTTGGAGTTTCATCTCACAACGATAGGATTTTTAATTAAGAATAAAATAAAATTAAAAACTAAAACATTAGATATAATATTAAGAATAAAATAAAATTATATAATATTTTAAATGGGTTGTATTCAACCCAGCCTATTTATTTAAATGAGTCAGACGGATTAATCCATTTATTTAAATAGATTAAAAATCTCAACCCAACCTGTTAATTTTGAATTGGGTGTGGATTGGATCAGCATGTTTTAATGGTGGAAAATTTGAACAAACGTTTATAGAGAGGAAAGCATGTGTGTTTAGAGTGACGTCATGTTATGACGAACAGAGTGACATCCATCGTATTCATTAGTTTAAGGCCTCAACTAACATGGAAAGTGATTCCTTAATACAAAAATGAAATCCCTCCAACGTGTACTTATTTTCTTTTCTTCAATTATTAAATTCTATTTTCTAATCATATTTAATTATAAATTGAAGAAATACTATCATTCTTTATATATTATTAAAATTAAATTATCATTTAATCAATTAAAAATTATTATTTTTATTGTAAATATGTAATTTGTGACATATCGAAATTAGACACAAACATATTGAGAGAGAGAACGCTAGGTTCTTTTGTTAATTCAATTTATAGTGTTAACTATGTTAATCTAGTTGACCAATAAGATTCATTACTTGTGGTAGGGTTTTAATAAGATATTTATTATGGATGGAAGACACAAGGGTAAATTATACATGTGTGTATAAGTTACATTTTGTTTTAATTAATAAGTGGTTACAATTTAATAGTTGTTTGATTGTTGGGATTATGATCAATTATTCAAATTACACAATGTATTATTATTAAACAAAATTATTCTTGGTGAAATTGTTTATCTGAGTGAAGAAATCACAAGTAAATATTTTTTAAAATGTGAATATTAATATACACAATGGATAAATTGTTAATCTGAATAAATAAATCACAAGTAAACATTAAATCGTTTATGTCAAGTATATGCAGAAAATTAAATCGTTAAATAGGTAAAATACATGCAAAATTTAAAAAAAAAATGAAAGTTTGTTACATCAATTGAGAAAAAAATTACTGCATTACAGTAAATAAGAACTAAACCAAACTTTGTTATATTTGCAATTTTGCCCTATATTTATTTATTTGTTTTGAAACAGAAACTTTGAATGATTGCTCCAAATGATATTTATTACATCAAATAAGGTTTCTTGAGTATTTGGATAACTTGGGAGCAATATATTTATATATGGTTTTGATTTGTGGAAAGTGTTGTTTTGGGAGTTACCCAACTTATAAACTTTAACAGTGGCAGTTGAGCCTTTTTAGGTTATAAACATGCAAATCTTTGATATACGCCTATTATTGGCTTTGTCGGAACCTTAAAAATATAAAGCATTAGGTTTTGTACTTGTTGCTTTTATGCTTAAATAAAGTGATGGGATATGGACCCATTCATGTATGGGTGCCATTGCCATGTATGTTTTAAATGTATGGAAAATATGTTTTTTTGACTTATGTGGATTACATTGAATTTATTTAAATAATAATGTGTGTTTATTTATCCCTTTAGTTTGATTTTAATTCAAATGAGTTTTGAGGACATTTGTCCGGTTTTAATAGCTCAATATGGGGATTTACATCTATAATGCATTCATTGCATATTTGTTAGGTATTATATGTTATGAGTGCATTAGTCACTCGATTGGAGTTATGTAATTTTGGATTGTATTTCATTGGATCCATAGATATATGACTTGGTCATATTGATATTCAAGTAGTCGGTATTGTGAAGAGGAACCCGTGTGGTTAGACTCCAAGATTGGCGGTGAGGAATCTATGTAGGTTGGACTCTGGAATCATAAGTATTAATTATGGAGGTGATCTCTTGTTGAGTCAGACACTAGGACCTTGGGTATTACGGTGATGCTCTTTCGGTTTTACGATTCTATGTTTATGAGATAAACTGTTTTAACTCAATAAGCGTTAATCCTAACATTTTTTCTTATTAACATGTATATTAGGTCTTAGTAAGATCTAATGGCATCCGGAGCTTTGTAGAGATTTCGTTAGGATGGCTTTAGAGGGGTCATCCAATTTTGAAGATAGCAGACTTGGTGATTTTAGTAACATCCCACTTGTTCTAATCCTCCTATTTGGGAATTAGATCGTCCATTTAGAACTCTGATACGTACTTTATCCTCTTTTTGTGTAAACTTTCATGTATTTTTTGTATTAAAGTTACTTTGAATTGAAGAAGTTTAAAAGTTTTAAATTTTCTGTTATTTTCTAATTTTAGGGGTGTTGCAACAAAAATAGAGCCGAACTCGAGCCCATATGCATAATTGAAATTGAAGTTTAGATATATATTAAACTCGATCGATCTCAAACTGAAACAGGTAATCTAGTTATGGATCAACGTTTCTCGATTTGGATTTTGGAAGGCGATACCAATCGAATTGTATTACATGAATCTTATGAGACACAAAGAACCTATTTGTACTAATTCAAGTAAATATAAATTATAAAACTATATATCCTTACACTTTAATACTCTAATATAGATACATATACATCAATATTTTGAGAGGTATTTACAACGAAGCTCTAAATTTAATCCAATATTTTCTACAAAACTCTTCGTGTTTTCTTCCACCCCATATGTATATATCAGATTGAAGTGTGCATGCATATATATATATATATATACATACTTACAAATCGAGATCCAGAATCCTAGAAGAAATGGCAGCAGCAAGTTGGACAATGAAATTACGGTCTTTTCCTAGATAAGTAGCCACTTGTTGAAGCAAAACCTCATCGAATTTTGGAAAGTTGAAGAAACTTTTAGTCGAAATCTGATCAGGATCACATTCGTTGGCTAAAACGTCCATGGCCTCCTGCTTCCTGCTTTTGTGGTTGTGTTCTCCTTCATAGGTTGCAACAAGAACACCAGCATCATCCACACTTCTTTGCACCTGAGAACAGTTTAACATGCAGGTTTACATGTTTAGCTAACAACTTTATATATTCCATAGGGTAATTAAAGCACCAAGCCCAATGTCACAATTACAAATTCATAAATCAAGGATGAATTTAAGTGGGGGATTGTGACATTCCGTCCTACATCGATGAAATCAAGAACGGGTCGGTTTGCGAGCACCCAAATCGAACCAAACCCTTGTCAATCAGGCTATAGAGAGAGGGGGTGGTGTTGTTACCTTCTTCTTGGCATGGCAGCTTGGAGCAAAAGAGCACTTATAGTAAGCTCTAGGAGATGGGTTATCTCTGGTCACCTTTTGCCCATATTTTCTCCATTGGTAATCATCCTTCACTACCTATATACATAAAAATCAAATAACCTTTTCAGTCAAACTCATTTTCTTTTGATCCACTTCATGCTTCCATACATACATACATACATACATACATATATATATAGTTTCTTGTCATGAAAGACAGAGAAAGTACCAGGCTTTTATCAGTTGGATCTGTTTGTACATAAACTCTTTGAATACCCGTCTTCGATAACTCCTCCTCATTTCGCCTTTTCCACGAGCTTTGTTCAACTCTCGTAGTGCTCTCATCCAACTTTCGTTTCTTTGGATTCGAGACTAATACTTCTTGTTCTTGCATTAGTTTATTCACCTGAGCTTGAAGAGAGTTGTAGTTGTCCCATACAATCGTAACCATCTCCTTTAGCTTCCTGTTTTCGTTCCTTATCCCGCTCAAATCACCCACCGTATGATCATGATCAACCTGCTCGATCATATATATATGCTCATATATCAGTTATATATATATATATAAACTAAAGGAACTTCACACACACACACACATATGTATATATATAACCATGCACAAACCTCTTTTTGAAATGAACAATCTTCCGAATCCTCCTCATCATCGTCGTAAGAACGACTAGTTTGATCTTCCTTGGCCTTAAAGCACAACAAGTATGTAATTAGTTGAATTCTTAAAACTATACATATAAAATCAGTTGAATTCATGAAGTGATGTACTTACTGGAGTATCATCAGTATTGTGGAAGGTGGGATTCAGATTGAGATCTATCCATGTGGCCACCATTGCTAGCTAGCTTGCTGCTGGTCAATTGGTCAATGAAGTGATTGAAGGAGAAACCCAGAAGTGGTGAGAGTTCTTATAGGAAATGGGGGAAAGAGATTTCAGGTCAAAAGTCTTTGGTCTGGTTTCTAGGTGCATGTAAGAAACTACCAGGAAATAGTTATAATTAAGATCACTTGTTGGAATCAATACTCTACATATATAATCCAAATTGACTTGTGGGATCAAATTTTATTTACATAAACTACTATCTTATATTTCGGTTATGCTTGTAATTAACTTTCGATACTAAAACAGCTACATAACAGTATTATAACTCACTATTGATATATTAAAAGTTAGGATTTCTTAAGAATTTTTAACTGAAAGTATGTATATTTTATATGAATGAAACAATAAAAAAAAATGAAGTAAACTCTGTATTCGAAGTTTTGGTTTCAAAGCAGTCTGATGTAAAAAGATGATCAGTAGTTAATCCTTTGACGAGTATTGATCTAATTATGCTGGTTTTGAGATATTTATTGGTGTGAATGTAATCAATAATTTTTTAAGTAGTAGATATTTTTTGAGTGGTTGTATCTCCATAAAAGAATAAATCAATCTAATATCTTTAGTCTTTTAAAAGGGATCTTTTATAATTTCGCACGTGAGGGATTATTTATTGGTTAAAGTTGTGTTTTTTTTTAATTAACTTGAATATTCATACCGTTATGCAATTCGATTAATTTTAAGGTGATCACATGTTTTATATGTAGTTCAGAGTTATCGTATTTGAACTTTAATGACAATTTTACACCTGAAACCTTTAGACAATTTTAATTTTTTGAAATTCAAACCTTTGTGATAAAAGTTGTGTTTTTGACAAGTCACCAAAGAAATATCATTAACAAATAAAAATCCAACCGCCCTTTCCTTGTGGGGAATGCCAAAAAATAATATTTTAAAAAGTAAATTACATTTTTGGTCCTTATGGTTGCTGGATACTATCAAGTATTGTTACCAAGTCACATTAATTACACTTTTGGACTTTTTAACTATTTTTTGTTAAGAAAGTTAGTTAAAAACTTTGCGGTATATTGACTTTTTTTTCTTTTATTGGATTTGTTTTGTCTTTTGCGTCATTAATCCACCCACCAAATCCCTAACCGCTCTCTCTTCTCCTTTCCCTTCACCGGCCACCTCCTTCAACCAGAAGACAGTTGTACCTTTTTTCCTTCCGGTCATCCTCTTCAGGAAAACAACCTAAATGCAATGTTCCTCGTGATGAAATGTAAAAACTCATCTTTATAGTGTTTTTAACTAATCTCGTCTTTATTTTAAAAACTTAACAGATCGTGTCTTTATGGTTGCATTTTTTGAGGATTAGGTCTTTGTGGTTGTATTTTCTTACAGGATAGGTCTCTATGGTTGCAGTTGTTAACGAGTTAGGTCCCTAAATAAGTTACAAGTTGGAACCCGCATGGTTAGATTATATATAGACACAACAAATACTAACTACAAAAAACACACGTCGTTATTTTTTCAAAATAAAAGGAGAATACTCTACAAATAACAAACTATAAGGACTAAAAATGTAACTCACTCAAAGATTAAAAATCTAGCTATGGATGATCCATCCTCGTCAGTTACGTGAGGATATTTTATGACGTCATACTCATTACGTCGTTATGTAGAAAAATCACATGACAAAAAAGAAAGACTTTCAAAGTCTTGGTGCATAGAATATTGGAAATTAATTCAAATAATTATTTCTCATATATAAATTGGTATTCTAATTTTTTTTTTATCGAATTTACCTAAATATCACTATTCTTGTAATATTCAGTTTTACAATATTAGTTAAAAGACAAAAAAAAAATTCAAATTCAATCAGTTTATCATCACAATTGCGGACCTGACCGTTGTAATTGCATATTTGTGTTGAATTCGATTTTTTTTTGCCTTTTAGCTAATGTTGCGGACCTGAATATTGCGGAAGTAGTGACATTTGGTAAACACATGAGAGAAATAGTTAGAAGACCAATTTGGATGTGGGAAATGGTCATTTGAGTTAATTTCCCTTTAGATAATGGGATAAGGTGAAACATGGTGTGAGGAAAAAAATTAAGGTGTGAAGTGTAAGAAGAAATATGAACGTTTAATCATTTATAATCTTATACTCACTTATAAATTGTGCTTGAGAAGAGAATTGCATTGGTGCATCTCAATGTACCTAATTAGTATTGACATTCAATTATGATTGATTAAAGGGTGAAGATTTATTCTTACATTTCTCATCATAACTTTACTTCTCATCAGATTATATTGTTGAATCTATCATTTTTTTTTTATTCATTTCCTCCTTATACACATAACCATTTATTTCTTATATATTAAAATATAACTGATGTGATTCTAAAATAAAAGGAACGCAATTAATATTATTCATTGCTAAAAATACATTTCTATCTACTAGTTTTATGTTCATACATACAAAACATTAGCACTTTTTTACATTATAAATGCATGAATTAATTTGATTCTGACATAAATCGTGAATATAGAATTACTTTTTTTAATTTATTTTATTTTTATCATTTGTACTTTATTTTTATTTTTCAATTCAATATGTGTTTATGTTTACTCATGATCTACAAATTATTATAAAAATGTTTTAGTCATTTAAACAAACGTAAGTTCCGCCTTCTTCATCAGTAATTGCTTTTGGCATAGTGATAAGCGTTTAGATCCTAATAAGGTATGTGACCGACAGAGAGAGGAATAAGAAATGAAGGGGTATGTGAATGAGGACATCTATAATTCAGTTTTATAAAATATCACCTAACAAAATGTTTACATCATACATTGAAAACACATGTACACTACTCTCTGTCTTTAGTGGTGAAACCTTCAAAAATTTGTTTTCCATTTTTTTTTTCTTGCCATATTAATAAAATAAGAATCTCAATAAAACTATTAAAAAAGAACCTCGATAAACTATAAAATGAAGGTTCTTGTAAAAACCTTATTTTTCATTTTCTATTTATAGATTTTATATATATATATATATATATATATCTGGGTTCTTATTAAAAAACATGTTACTAGAGTAGACAATAATCTGTAGTTTAACAAGAAATTTTATCCTATAGTAAAAAAAATTATAAACCCTCAAATAAAAAACCTCATATAATCTAATAACCAAATTAGGCATGGTTCATTAGAACTACCATTTATGTTACAGAGTTTGTGTATTACTTAAAAAGACAAATCAATCACAAGTATATGCATTTTCTAGTTATTTAAACACATGTTTCGTGTTTCATAAAATACACCATTCTTTTTATAAATTTATATAAATATAATTTAAAATTGTAAGCGTTCACAACTATGAGTATTTTAACGAATTCTCTATGACTGTTTTTAATTTATATAAATAATCACAACTCGAATTTTAAAATGATTTTTTATTTTCAAGATTTTAATAATAGTTAAATTATTATAACATTTAATACCTAACAAACTTTGAATTGAGTGACAATAAGAAAGAGTACAATATTTCTTTCCTTGAATCATTTAATTTCAGGGTAAATTATATACAAAATTAACGTATTTTAACTTTATTTATATTTTTAAAACTTTCATTTTGGTATCTAAAATGTGAAGTTTTAAATATTTAAGTATTCAAGTAACTGATTGGAGCATTAATCGATTATCATGTTGAGGCGACGATTGATGTGATATTCAACTCAGTATTATTTGTTAACATTGTTAGTGACATTGATTTCTTTTAATCTAAATTAAGTCTTTTTTTTAATCTAAAATTAGTCTTTAACCGGTTAGTGGACATTTAAATGTTTAAAACTTTACATCTTAGGTATCAAAATAAAAGTTTTGAAAAAACATTATCTAAAAAAGAATCAAGTTAAAGTACGTCACCAAGTAACTTTGAGTTGGATATCACATCAATCGTCACTTCAGCATGATAACCGGTTAATACTTCAATCGGTTACCCGGATACTTAAATGTTTAAAACTTTACATCTTATGTGCCAAAATGAGAGTTTTAAAAGTACATTATCCAAAATAAGAATCAAGTTAAAGTACGTTACTTTTTTCATACGATTTGCTTAATTTTATAGAGTTTTTCAAATATAAACATTTTTATCTCTTATTATTAATAATTTTAAAGAAAATTTAAAAAAAAAAATTAAAATAAAAAAATTAAAATTTATTTTAAAAAAACGATAAAAGTGGGGACATCCTTTTCATATATAATTATTGAGGTGGGACATTGTGGAAATTGTAGAAAAAAAATTGATAAATGACGTCATGTCGTTGTGAATGGATGACGTTTTTCATATTGCATCATTGACTGGTCATGCTTGTAAGACCAGTTCCAAGAATATTAGAGTACACAATACCAGGTACGTTTAACTTCGTTTCAACGGATATGTTTAAGGTTTTTTTTAAAGAAAATATAATTTTATCTGACAAATAAATAAAAAAAGATTTTTACCAACAATCCATTTTGATGACAAAAAGACATTATCAGTAAAATAGGAATGGTTACTTTTACTTTACTGATAAACGTTTATCTGATGAATGTTTAAATAAATAATTTTAAATATAAAAACAAAGAAAATGGGTTTTATATTATTTTTAATGATATAATTTCTCTCTCTAAAATAAAAAAAAAATTTATTGTGATTTAAATTTAATTTTTCTTCTAAAATTTTTTGACTTTTATTTTTTAATTAAAAAAGTATTGGAAATGATGTCATCGTTTATTGCATGTAAACTATTCGTCGATGTAATCAATGAAAGCTTAATTTGACTCATTTGAAAAATGAATTGCAAATTCGCAATGCTGGTTGTATTTGGGCTTAGTTTTGAGAAGAGACCTTATTGGGCTGGGTATCTATCACTTGAGTCCATTTATGTTGGGCCTTGTTTAATCTTGTGTCATTAATCTAAAATTCTAAATCTTTATCGTTCGATGTAGGTAGAGATGGTCAAAAATGGATCCGAACTTGGTCATTAAACAATGCGTTTTATTTTTGTCCCGGTAGATATAAAATTAGCTGACTTTGAAATTAAAGTTGTTGATGAAGTATGAATCGATCAAAAACACGATAATTGAGACCTGGTCCGTATAAAGAAAATAAAAGACTAGAATCCAATGAGATAGAACTCTCGAGAAAATAGATTGTTTGAAAGAAACTTTCAGTGGACCTAATTAGCATGCAACACGACATTAAAACACATAACACAAAGTCGTTCTGTTAAACGATATGTTTGAAATTTGTTTAGTAAGGACTACGATAGATTCGGTTAAAACTATTATTTGTAATTATATGGTATTAATTATATTTCTATTATAGTAATTAATTAAATATTATAGCTGTTTATTTTAATAAAAGAGTAATTAATCTAATAAAGATAATAGATATAATAAAATTGACCCTAACTGTAATTATTCTAATTATAATCAAAATAAATAAATAATAATAAATCAAAAAAGGGTAAAGTTTTTGGTTAATATTTGGGAAAACTTCAGAAAAAATTCAAACGAATCATCTTACTTTGAATGATTAAGTTTTTTAACTATTTTTTAAATAAAAAAAATTAAAAAAAAATCATTAAACTTTCTCAATGACTTAATCGTTTGAAATGAAATAATTCGTTATTCTTATGAGCCACAAGGCGAAGATGATATTTTTTTAATGCATGACTTAATTATGTTTTCAATTTGCGAGATCCAATTTAGACCATAAAATATTAGTTTAATAAAAAAATATAAATTAAAACCTTCTCATTATCGATCTCCTCTCTCTATCTCTCCTCTGTCCATAACAGACGCATATAATTGAACAAATTGTGAACATTTTCTTATAAATTGGGAGTGTTTACTTGACTTTACTTTAGAAGGCTTCTACCCGTTCCACTTTCACAAGGAAAAGTGCACTGCAAGAAGGGTACTTTTGACCGGACTAAAAAATATCTCACTTTCGATGATTGAACTCCACTTTCATAATGTGGATTAGTACAATTATTGGCATATTTAGGATTGCTTATTCAACGACTGCTTCCCTTGAGCTGGTTTTAGCTCGCTCTCATCGAGACTAAGGGGCTGTTTACCAAACTCTTACATGGGTAAGCGCTTACCAAGTAACATTACCTCACCGGATGAATATGGTAAGAACCAAGAATCTTACCTGGTAAGAGTGAGACAAGGATCAAGAGTCTTACCTTGTAAATGAGGTCGACGACTCTTACCACGATAAGCACTTACCGGGTAAATTGTTGCATACGATATCGTTTTTCAGGACTAAAATCTTACCCGATAAGTAATAATAATATTAAATTTTACTGGTAATCACTTACCGGGTAAGTGTTTGGTAAACGGCCCCTAATTAAGTCACTTCTCTCTCCTTAATGTCTTCCCTGCCCGATGCTTTGTTAATGTCAGAGTTGATATCAAGATGAAAGGGAAAGACAGTAAGAAAGATTCAAGAAAAAGACTAGAAGAAGGGACTTTCTTAGAAGAATTCTCACTTGGACCGGTGGTGAGAACCCGATCTCCAGAAGCTAATTGGTAAGGTTCAACTTGATAGGGGTGGATCCCTTCGAAATACCAAATCCCAGCTTAAGTCCAAAAGGCCTACACTTTAACTAGGAACATTGTTATAGTTTGTAAATACATTTTGAACACACTTTAAATCTACAAGATTTGGTATAATTTGTGAACACCAACTAAATCAAGAAAAATTAAATTTAAACATATCATTTGTGAACATCCCAGTATAAATTTTCTTAAGATTGTTTATATCGTGTTCACCTTGTACGTGTGTATGTTACGGATAGAGAAGAGGAGAGGGATATAGATGAAATCTACTAAAAAATGCATTAAGTTTTTATTTAATAAATAACAATAACTATCTTCTTATTTATCCCATTAATAAATAACATTAATTATTTCATCAGATATGAGTTATCAAAAGATTAAATCCTTATAATATATATATATATATATATATATATATATATATGTGTGTGTGTGTGTGTGTGTATACATAGGGGCCTAATCAAATAAGAACAAGATAGTTTGTGGTAACTGTGAGGTCTATATGAGTCAATCATTTTAGATAATTAATGTTATTGACTAATTTAAAAGAAAGGTAAATTAGTAAATTGTGTTGATTATTCAATTTACTTTAATTAGTTTAATATTCCAATTTACTTTAATTAATTTAATTATTTTAATATATATGTATATATATACACACACACAGACACACAGAGACCAAATCCGGTGGCCTTCTCGGCACCCACCACCACTCCGGTGACCTCCTCCGGTCATCTTGTATGATCAAGACACTGTCTCCGATGATCGACCACTAAACATCCATTTGTGACAGTGGTACCACAGTTGGTACCACAGTTGGTATCACAGTGGTACCTCAATTGATATCACAGTAGTCTCAAAGTTTACTTTGTGTGTTTTAGGAATCACATTATGTATATTTGTGTATTTTGTATATCACATAGTGTTCGTAGGAGGCCGGAGGTAGGAGAGAGAGAGAGAGATGAGAGATAAAAGATTTTAAAATATCTAAAATGCGTTTTAATTATATTTTTAAGTTAAATTACCAAAAATATTAGTTTCCTAATTTATTCATTGATTTGTGGTTAAGATTGGATCTCATAGTTATCACAAACTAATCAGTTCTCCCTTAAATGGATCCCTACATATATATATATATATATATATATATATATATATATATACACAGAGAGAGAGAGAGAGAGAGGTTGGTTATTATACAACCTTTAACATTTGTACAACCAATACAACTCAATCTCAACCGTCCATTTAATTTGATCAATTTGTGATTTCATAGAAGTTTTGATTGTTTCCTAATATAAAGTATTGATCATAATTAATAAACCATATTCATCTTTCATAAATATTCAAATCATAATAAATAAACTCTCATCATTTCTATAAATATCTTAATTAATTGGGTTGCATTGGTTGTACAAATGGACATGGTTGTATTTGAAATATACCCTATATATATATATATATATATATAGACACACACACATATATGATCTATGAGTAATTGATATTCAGATTACGTATCAACAAACAAAAAAATAATAAGACACTAAAAATATAACAAAAATCAAATATCGTGTTATAAAAACCGTCGATAAAAAAATCCTAACGGATGACAGACTTAACATAATGTTGAACATGAGCTTCGAAGCATAACACGTCACGACGGCTACCATGACAAGCCCTTTAAAACACAGAATCATTTTTTTATATAAATTAATTGCAAAATCATATTTTTATTTGGAGACAGGTGGGATATCACATTTCCAAATATAAAAAATGTTACAGAAAGCCGTCAACGGTATTATTTTTTTCTCTGGAGGGTTTGAAGTTTATAAGTATTGTGGAAACATACCCTCATATTTTAATAAGTTGTCCAAACGAGCCCCTCTCAATTTTTCATGTTACGTTTACTTATTTTCAGCACCATGTTGTTTATATATTATGAGTTTTATCATTGTTTTTCTTAAATATATGAAATAAATCAGATCCACAATTCACACCATATAAATAAGCCTAACAAACCTTTCTTGCTTTTTTTAGTAGAAATTGATGATTAACCATCATTTATGGTCACTACTAGAAAATTGGGTATTTCCTGGCAGATTATCGACAACAAAAAAGTCAACTTTCGTTGATTTCCGAAAAGTTACCGACGGTTCTGTAAAACTAAATTATTTCAAAATAACTTGTTATAAGTTATAATTTTGATTTTGGTTATTTAAGAGTCTATGATGCGTAAACTATTTAATTATATAGACAAAAATAAAATCATGACGATAAACTAAGGGGTCGTTTACCAAACGCTTACTCGAGTAAATGAACTACCTTACCGGATGAATATGGTAAGAACCAAGATTCTTACCCGGTAAGTGAGGGCGACGACTCTTACCATGGTAAGAGCTTACCAGGTAAATTGTTGCATACGGTACCGTTTTGGTGGGCTAAAATCTTACCCGGTAAATAAATGAAAATGTTAAATTTTAACAATAAACGTTTATCAGATAAATGTTTGGGATATATTTTTGGAAGGAAAAATGTGAAGTTATATATATACCTACCCTAGTTGCTAAACTTTCATTTTCATTTAAAGCAAATTCATATTTAAATACATGTCTCTAACATGCTTCTGTAAATCCAGCTTTCATCTATCATCAAAACCATTAAAAAATAGAAGTTGATCATGCATGTCAACCTTCTAAAAGTCAACATGGCCTCATTCTCAAAGATCTTAGTCATGAATATAACCACATTACTCCATCAAACACAAGAAGGAATGTATCTGCAACAACAACAACTCCATGGAAATCGACCTTTAAAGCTTTCATTTTTCATATAGTTGCAGGTAATTAACACACACACATGCAGAAAATGCATACATACATACATACATATATATGTATAAGTTGTTTATAAACTTAACTTCCATTGTTAACTTCCATTGTTATATGTTTATAAGTTGTTTCTTAGTATTCTTACCACCACCTACAAATAGGGTTGCTGATTAACAATATTCATTTTCTTAACGTATATATACGCAACAAAATCAAGAAATCTTGATTGGTTGATTCTTTTGTGTCTTGTCTGAATTCAAACAGGTGAAACCCCAGCTCTCTCCATCTCTCTAAAAACACACATTTTGTATATATATATATATATATATAGAGAGAGAGAGAGAGAGAGAGAGAGAGAGAGAGAGAATGTATGCAGCAAATCATTGGGGAGGATCATTGGAAATAACAAATGATCCTGATGATCAAAACAGAAGGAAGGAAGACATGGATAAGGCATCATTATACAACATTCAAACCCATCAAAGTGGAACCCTAGACGAGACTCAACAGAGTTGGCTGCTGGATCCAAATGAAGCCAGTAGGAAGAAAAGCAAGACCAGGTATGTGGATTTAGGGTGCATCGTGGTAAAGCGGAAAGTATTGAAATGGACGGTGATCGGAATTTTGGTTGCTTTTCTGGTGATCGGAGTTCCGATCATAATAGCAAAGTCGCTGCCGAAGCATAAATCCCGACCACCGCCTCCGGATCAGTACACGGAAGCACTGCACAAGGCTCTTCAATTCTTCAACGCCCAGAAATGTACGTTTCATTAACCCTAAAAACCCTCTTTTTCACAACTTTGACTTTCAATCGTTCATGCCAATGGCAATATATATGTTTGACCATCGCCTTATATTATCTGAAATTAAACAAAGTTAAGTTTATGGATTCATCTTATTTTACATTAACGGTTAGCGTGACAGTGTGCGGACGATATGGTCTGCGACCTGAGTCGAGTTCCGATGAGAAAGCGAGAGTCGAGTTCCGGTGAGAAAGAACTTACGTTAAGAAACGTAAGAAGAGATCTCCATAATTGAATCAATCTTAATTAAATGTCAACATTAATGAAGTGTAACGAGATGCACTGGATCTATTTTCTTCTAAAGGCAATTCATGGATAAACATGAGATTAAAATTTTCAATATAACTTTCTTTATTAATATTTAGACATATTTAAAGTTATTTAATTTTAAAGTTAAAAAACGAGGAATCCTGCTACATTGATTTTATTAAAAAGTCAACCTAATTATATTATTTTTTATTGTAGGAATTAAATACATGGTCAAACAAATATATTCGTTTTTTTAATTTTGAGTACCTAAAAATCACATATATTTTCATGTCGAATTATCAAACTGGTGTGTCCAGATTTGATTCAGTTTATTAAGAAGAAAGTGTTACATTTTTTATGACATAATTTAACAGTTTTTAATAAATGATACAGCTGGAAAGTTACCGAAAAACAACGGTATTAAATGGAGAGGGAATTCAGGGCTCAAAGATGGATCTGATGCGACGGATGTCAAAGGAGGTTTGGTCGGAGGGTACTATGACGCCGGTGACAATACTAAATTCCATTTCCCGATGTCATTCGCGATGACAATGTTGAGTTGGAGCGTAATCGAGTACGAACACAAGTACAAGTTCATCGAAGAGTATGATCATGCTCGAGAACTTATCAAATGGGGAACCGATTACTTACTTCGTACTTTCAACTCCTCGGCTACGAAAATCGACCATATTTACGGCCAGGTATGACACATCATCATGTTTCTTGTGTACCAATCTATGGATTATCAAGAATGTATCAATGGGTAGTAGACATATTTCATTAGTTCAATCATTGTATATATATATATTTTAGGTCGGAGGATCTCAAAATGGCTCAGCTATACCAGATGATCACACCTGTTGGGAAAGGCCCGAAGACATGGACTACAAGCGGCCGATACAATTGATTACAGCAGGGGCCGATCTTGCCGGAGAGATGGCAGCTGCTCTGGCTGCAGCGTCTATCGTCTTTAGAGACGATACCGCATACTCCAAGAAGCTTGTGCAAGGTGCCGCTACAGTATGGACATTTGCCAGAGATGAGGGCAAACGTAGTCCATACTCTAGAGGCAACCTTTTCATAGAACCCTACTACAACTCCACAGGGTACTATGATGAGTACATATGGGGTAGTGCTTGGATGTACTATGCCACAGGTAACTCTAGTTACCTGTGGTTGGCTACAAATAAAGGACTCTCGAGACACGCGAAAGCATTACTTGATAACCCTATCCAACGAGTTCTCAGTTGGGATAACAAGTCCCCTGCCGCCATGTTATTGCTAACGAGGATACGCATGTTCTTGAATCCTGGGTTCCCTTATGAGGATATGTTAAGTAAATACCAAACAGCCACTAGTCTAACCATGTGCTCGTACCTTCCTCGATATCAAGTTTTTAATAGGACTCGAGGTATGCATAATGCATTCTTCGACATAATACTAAGTTTGACTTCAAATGTCAATGCAGATATAAAAGCCATAATTTTTCGTGCAGGCGGGCTAATTGAACTCAGCCAAGGACGTCCACAGAATCTACAATATGTAGCCAATGCCGTCTTTTTGACTTCACTATATGCAGATTACTTGGATGCTGCGGATCTTCCTGGTTGGAACTGTGGCACATCATTTGTTCCCAAAGATGCGCTTCGTAATTTCGCCAATTCTAAGGTTATAAACTTTTAACCCTTGTCTATAAGATTGTTTTTAAGAGTAAATTATGATTTCCGTTCCTATGACTTGTTAGTAATTCTGATTTTCATAGTTGTGGTTCAGAATTTGTGTTTCACACCTGTGGTTTAGAAATTGCCAATTTCATCCCTATGGTTCGCCAAATTATTGTTATTTTCATTCATGGACTAGTTCCTACCTTTAAGTAAAAGGATCCAAAAAAGTAAAGAATCGTGAACCACAGGGACCGAAACAACAAGAAATTGTAAATCATAAGTATGAAAATAGCAATGAATCACAAACCATATGGACGAAAACTATAATTTCCAAACCGCAAGGACGAAAAACACAATTTTTAACAAAAAACATAATTTACTCTTTTTTTATAAACCAACATATATCTAACTTTTATCACAAAGAGTAGAGCAATTGTTTTGTTATATTTGTGTATTGTATATCTTAACTCACTAACGTATGTTATGCTTGTAGATGGACTACATTTTGGGTAAAAACCCGATGGATATGAGCTACGTGGTCGGATACGGCAAGAAGTATCCAACACACGTTCACCACCGAGGTGCATCGATACCTGATAACAACATCAGGTACTCCTGCAAAGGCGGGTTTCGGTGGATGTCCACGGGTAAACCTAATCCAAACACCATCACCGGTGCTATGGTCGGAGGTCCAGACCGGTTCGACAAGTTCCGAGACGTGCGTTCAAATTTCAGCTACACAGAACCCACCCTGGCCGGAAATGCAGGCTTGGTTGTTGCACTCGCGTCACTCACGACAACCGGAGGGAAAGAAGGCGTTGACAAAAACTCTATTTTTTCAGCAATTCCACCACTTTACAAGGCGGCTCCGCCACCTCCGCCACCATGGAAACCATGAAAACCTGCATAATAACGGCTTCCTCCTCTAATTCTTTTTTGTAATTCGTGTTTCGAGTTGAAAAGTCGATATCACTTTCATGCCATTCCTTCCATCATCAGCATTAGATTAAAATCCGATAGTTCGTAATATTAGACACTGGTTTCTTTGTTTGAACTTGTTTAGAGTTAAAATAATAAAACATAAAAACGATCAAATCATGTACGTACAACATGATTACATCCACGACATGTCACATGTAGAGTCATCCTCACACCATCACGTTAACTATGTTTTGCATTCACATGTGATTTCAATATAAAATCACATGATTAAAATTTATTTACCACGTATCCATCGTGCTCTTTTTTATATAAATCAATTGGTTTTATTAACGATAACTCCGCTTTCTTAAATTCAATTTATAAAATATATGTAAATTACATTAAAAAAAATAGTTGATTTAATATCCAATTCAACTAGTAATGCTAATATCTCATAGGATGGAGTTATCTCTTCATAAAATCAAGCCAAGTAAAAAGGTAAAATCATAAAATAAAATAACACAGGATGATCCATTCAGCAGCTGAATAGGGGCGTAAGCAGTAGTCCAAACATAACAGGTTGAATTCACCAACACTACATTCATTATGAATGGTGTTAGAATATGATAAAAACTGGTTCTTTGATGGATTTGAGAAAGCAAAAAGCATGTTAAGGGATCTATTCACATCTGCAGAAAGAATGAGGAGCCATCTAAAACTGCAATAATCCATGTACTATAAATAAAACCAAACTAAATGCAAAACTCTTTCCTGCCGATCTTCTAAGGATTCAAATGTGACCGAGATGACTGCGGTTATTCACAATGAATACTGATCATGGAAGACCCTTTTCTCTACACATAGCATGTAGGGCTTACCGGGGTCTATGTGGGCCCACAAGAAGCCTCCGCAAGCAGTATTTATTGTAAGCAGTAGTAGTGTAACCACAACAACTATATATCTTTATAGACCGAAAGAGTGAATAGCACTTTGCAGCAAAGATTTAAAGGCAAGAAGAGACTGCAAAATCCAAAATGACCATTACTCCCATCAGTTCAAGGAGAGAATATATTTCAAGAACAGATCAAAGTACCTGCTACGTCATTCCTTTTTGATGCCGTTAAGAAAAACGACTCTATTTTGGTCAGCAGCTGGGACCCACAATCATTCAAATGATGATCCCAGAGCAAAGCAGAGCAGAGAAAACGAAGCCGAAGCAGAAAACCAATGAAGAAGCATAACACCTCGACACAAAAACAAGCATATGGCTTTAGCACTGTTCTATGAAAAGTTAAGATTCACCCGACACACATCATCGTCTATAAACAACTCAGATAATAAAAGAAAAGTATAGAAGCAGATAAATAAATTCGGTACTTGGAAAGTTAGGAACCTTAACCAAATTCATGCAGATAAAGTTGAAAACAAGTCAGCACAGATAACAAATTCCAGACACTTGAAACCCTTCCATCTCCATAATCATCAGCTCCTGCTACGACGCCGATCCTTAAGCCCGTTTCTGAAAACATATCAGCCAACCACACAGAGTTTAGCAAACGACAATACAAGCTCTTACAAACCCTTCTCTATGACCTCTAAAGTGATGCTTGTTGCCACTCGCATTTCTGTAGAAATTTGATATATTACTCAAAATGTATGCCTCGTTTATTTTTCTAGCTTCCCAGGGTTCAAACTATGAGAAATTTAATTTTGATAAAGTCATGGAAGTTGCTGTATTCTTTTCCTACTTTCTTTACTTTTCTTATCAACTTCCGTCACTTTCTGTATTTTATGAAAGATATTTGCTCACTTCTAGAACCACTCTTCTTCTACATAGTTGTCAAGTCTCCAATATATGGGTCAACAAGGCCTTGACATGATTTACAGGCAGGCACATATCATGTTTGATAAGTGAATGCTTTAATATTAGCACTTGCACACGTTCTTGATAAATGTAAGACAGCACAAGCATTTTTGGCATATAGTAAGAAAAGTAGGTTACATTATTATTTAATAATCATAATCTACTCTAGAATTAAGCAACTGGGCATAGGAAAAGCAAATTTGATTATATCTAACATAAGAATAATCTGCACAAACGTAATTTGGCATGTGTGAACATGAACTGTAGTGGTTATATGCATCTTAAATTGACACGTTTAAATAGCCTAAGAATAAAAAAGATGGAAAACAGGATACAAACTTGATCAGAGTGCATTCTGTGTTCTAAATGCCAGTACGACAATGTAAGCCAAAGAACAGAGTAACAACATCACACACAGAAAGCAAGACATGATGTTAAAACAATACTCAAATATGAAAGAACTTCACCCGTTTGCATATGGCAACTCCTCTCGTCCACGATATGGTGGTGACCTGCTATAGTTATTTCTGCGAGGTGGTGAAGCACTACGGCGAGGCGGTGAGCGGCCTCCACGGGGACTGTAGCTCCTGCTTCCAGAAAAATAAAAGGGTACCAAGAACATCACAACTAGAACAAATTGCATTCACATCTATTTAAGCCAGGAAACATTTACTTGCAATGAAGTACCAAACAAAAGATTATCTCATGCTTCGGAATCTCACCTCCGACCATAGCTAGGGCTCCTGCGATATCTGGGGCTTCGGCTACGACTGCGACGTCTACCGCCACCTCCACCACCACCACCACCACCACCACCACGGCACTCACGAGCAAAATGACCAGGTTCACCACACTCGTAGCACTTCAGATCAGAACCACCAGAGCGACCACGACCTCCTCCACGGCCTCCACCTCCACCACCGCCTCCTCTAGAGTTATGAGACATTTCTACTCTCCAACCATTCTTACCTGGTTCAGTGAAAATAGATGAGAACCCAAACGGGGTAAACCCGATCCATGTGTATGGAAATCCTTAGAATGCAAACAAATAGATGGGTCTAGGAAAAAAGTATGAAGTAGCAAACGGAAGTATGGACCAAAATAAATTGTAGATAGGACGAAAATTTGAACCAATTTCATTTTGATCGAGATAGATGATCAAGAAAAGAATTAAATGGCAGTAACAATGCTGTCTGAAAAGGTATAGCCTAATCCATTTATTATCTTCTTATCTTGTGATTTTCATATCAATAATTGTACTTTCTAAAACACTTCATGAAAGGTTAACAATGGAATTTCAAAAATACTTGCACCCACAAACAACAAAATTTGCTGATAATAGCAGCCATAGAAGATTGTGAAATGAAGTAATGTTAGATAATAATAAAAAAGACATGGAATAGCTAGTGTAGAAACCTCTTCAAATTAATACTGTTGGGGTCATTAACCGATAAATTAATATTGTATTAAATGATCATTTTCGTGATTCAATGAAGTTCAATTTTTTATTACATAAAAAATCGGTCTCTCACTAGTTTTTTATCTTATTCATCAAACCAATAAGTGAAATAGGGGTGCTTAAAAAACCGACCAAACCGACCAACCCGGTCAACCCAACCCGAAAATCCCAAAAAAAACTCAACCCGAAGGACCGAGGTAACCCGACACATAGTTGATAGAAAATTAGGCCAAACCGCATCTATGGTTGGGATTGGGTTAGAGTAATTTGAAACCAACCCAACCCGATGAATCCGATGCCTTTCAATACTACAGATTTAGTATGATTGTTAAACCCTTGATTAATATATGTACTTTAGACATTAGACCAACCCGTAATTAGCTACATTCAAAATTATATTACAACTTCAATCGTAATTTTACTTTGTCATTAGCATGAACTTTCAACTTCTTTTTGTTTGTTAGCCTATTTCGTATGTTCTCATTTTGTTTTACTTTGTTAAACAAAATGCTTAGCTAGATCATAAAATGATGTACCAAATTTTCAACCCGATCAACTCAACCAACCCAACCCAAGAGGCACGGTTTGGGTTGATATGGGTTGTAGTTTTTCAAACTGTAAACATCGGGTTGGGTTGTTCAAATGCCTTCAACCCGGTCAACCCAACCAACCCATGTGAAGCCCTAATGTGAACCATTGTATCTTACTAATTTACATAACAATACCTTTGGAACTAGTTATAGGTAAGGAAGCACTTTTATCGCTCTAGAGCTCTTCACGGCTTTTTTACAGTTCGAGATCAACACCAAAACTTTTGGATGTAGTAAGAAAAGTTAATGATGAGCTCCATCTAAATCTCAAATTTAGGAAAAAAGAAACAATACTAGAATCATATTCAGTAAATTGTCTTAGTTATTTTAAAGAACTATTAATTTATGATATTAAAGAGACCATTGCTTTATATAGGGTTTTTTTTTAAAACATATTATCTTATGGAAATCCGGTGATTTTTTCGGACGGTCCAGAGAAAAATATTATCTTAAAGAGTTTGTATATTTACCAAGTATTAATGTAAATTGGTTTTATTGTAACTCAGATGTTTTGTCTTTCTTTTTTGCAGCATTCCCACTTCACTTCAAGACCCTTAAGAATTATGTTTAAACAAGCAGATTGCATCCAGCAAGATACATGGTAAGACTACCATTATACCAATATAAAAAAAAACTGAAACAAATACACATACCATCAAGTTCGCGGATGGCGTCTTGAGCATCTCTTTTGTCATCGAAATCAACAAAAGCATATCCCGGAGGTCTTCTTGCAACCCAGACACTGCACATGTTGGACATGAAAGGATCTAAGAAACGTCCAATTATGCATAATAAGAATGAGAATTACAACTTGAAGAGTATCTTGAATTTCGTCAAACCAGACAGATCCAAGTCTCAAGTGAAACCCCAAACAAACCAAATCGGTTTAATGCACCAATGACGAGGAATCAATACTGTCCGTTCCATGGTTACACAGTCCAGATGGATGCACATAATCATGCTGACATACACTCAGGCAAGTTTCTATCAGCATAAGATGGTCAAAAAGAATGAAAGCACAAACAAATAGTAAATAATAAATGACGTGAACATCATAAACTGAGATCGCAATTAATATTAAACACACTCGCTCCAAACAGATCCTACCTGATGACGGGATATTCAAAAAGAAATCCCTTTTGATCAAAGAAAAGTGGAAAACTAATAGACAATCCCTAAATAAAATTAATGTGTTTTCTATAATAATTACATCAAATTGTAAAAAAGAAAGTGTTGAATATTACACAAAGCCAAACATGAGAAAAATGCTGAAAGCTGAAAAGTCGAATAAACCAAGCAAGCACAAAGAAATCTTAGGTTGCTGCTAGCAAATTGACTAAATGAGACAAAACTAATAAATGAATAAATTCTGAAAAGCTTACAATCTGCATCAGAGATCCACATATTAAAGACAATTAGGTTTTGCACAATTGTTATTGATGAATCTTTCAACAACAACAGGGTCCAAGATATAATTTATCTTTAGTGAGCAGAATCACTTGGTTTGAGCAAAAATTCATCTTCAACAATTTCAGGTAACTAATCTGGGATGTGCATTTTCATAAATGATACTATAAAGACAGAGATGAGAAGTTTGTAGAAAGTAATTTCATTTGTAGAGACATATACAGACATTAGCAAAAATTGGAAGTTCAAATGCCTTTGCAGTGTACAAAAATGTCCATGTGTTTATAGCGTCTGCTTGAATGTTCCAATAAGACGGTATGTCAACTAAATAAGCATATCATAACAGGCTAAAAGCACTGAAAAGGCTAATAAATAGGAAATGCAGTCTTAACAAACTCCTCTGAAAGAAGGAACTATGACTACTGGCATCAGCAGGTGTTTCATATCTGAAGTCCTTAAGATCCATGTGTTGGCAGGAATGAGGCATTATTTGTGAGGAAAAAACAAACCATGCTCTACTTTCTTTTATCAGGTCCCAACTAAACATAAGGTAAAAAATCCAATGTTCATCAAAATTTATAGTAGAAAAATATTCCTACATAAAAGAGCTTCTAAATACAAGCAAAAATTTAGCAGAAAGTCTAATAGAATTGACACTAGTTTCACCGAGAAAACAAAAGGCTATGATAATCAAGTTCATACTCCAGATACGTGCATATCATGCATCATAATTAAGAGTGACGAACTGATGATCAACTTTTAACATCTCCATTCAAAATAATCGCACTAGTAACTTTTCACATTCATCAAAGATGACAGTTTACACGAAATGCAACTTCATCCTCTAGTCATAACAACTTAACCTAAAGGAGATGAATGATAAATTTCCTGCTTACCTTCGAATGACACCAAAAGTGCGGAATTCGTCCTCAATTTCTCTTTCACTAACCCTTGGATCCAGATTACCAACATACACACGTGACATCTTCAATAATTACCTGTCAGGAACACCAAATACCGATTATTGGGTGTATAGAATTCGACGTTTTGACCAGAATTAAGAATACACAAAGCCATATTATGTAACTCAAAATGCAAAGGATACGAAAATTGTTGTTCGTCCAAAATTTCAATGTCAAAGACATTAAAAAAATTGTCCAAACAACAGGGTTTAAGACCTATAATTGTACTCCTATCCGAATAAACTGTTGCTCTCTGATCTCAAACCCAATACCTTTCTGTTGCAAAATTGATGAAAAACTCAATTCAATTTTAGCGACCAGTAGAGTACCCCCCCCCCCCAAGTTGGAGTAATAAACCAAAGGTCAAAGCTTCTGCCACCCAATATTTTAGCACACAGCCGATATCACCTCTGGGTTATTGAAGCAAGCTACAACCAAGCTTTTCTAATCGTAGCACTTGACATGAGATTTAACCTAATCATCAGCTGTTTCTCAAGAAAAATTTACAATTCTTATCAATTTTCAAATTGAATGAGCACATTTGACACAAAACGAAAAGTATAAATCTATTACCAAACAAGGGGAGTAAAACTACGGTGACTTGTGTTCTAATGGTACCGAAACCCTCATCGAACTCAAGCGGCTACAATCGTAAGTCTCATACAAAACATAATTAACACGTCTGGCAGATCTAGAAAATAAAATTAGCAAAACCAACAATCATCAAAATTAAACTAGTCCAGAATCAGAACATAAAGTACAGTTCGTGCAACATCATAGTCACATAAGCCGACGGAAGACATAACGAGTACTACTAAAGTACAGTATACATGAAAAGATAAAGGGACGACGACCATAAACTTTGCCAATCGGCTACGAAGTTATTAGGGTTAGGTTGTAGCCAAATACAAAAACAGAAGTGAAATCAAACAACACCGTTAAGAAATTATGGAGGAGAAAAGAGGAGACGAGAGGGATTACCTCAAAAACCCTAAAATGGAGTAGGAGGCAGTGAGAGCGTGGTTTGGAGAAAAAATAATATATGGTCACAACCCGATATGTTATGTCCTGACAAATATATAGAATTTTTTTTTTTGTTAATTTACTGGTTTGTATCCGTGTAATGTGGCAGGAGCCATGAATTTTAACGATTTTGAAGTCTTATTGATTTTATTACAGAAGATTTAACGATGATATAAATTACATTTGGTCTTTACATATTAATAAAATTTGAATAAATAAGAGTTATGGTTTCAATTACAGTCTATCGATGGAAAAAATTGTATGACAGTTTAAAATCCAATATATTTAAAAATTCAATATATTTAAACGACTCCACAAATGTATTCAATTTACACTAAGAATAAAGAATCAAGAGATCGAGAGCGAGATTGAGAGTTCTATAGCAGTTGAATAATAAATGAATGAGATAACTTTTAATAACTCATGGTGAATATCAGTTTGAATCTCACATTGGGAGATTGGGAAGACGACATAGAAGTGTGAGATGGTGAAGACATGAGTGAAATGTGTCAAAATTATCTTTGAAGCATGGAAAAAAAGTAATAATGTGCATTAGTAACTTATATTATATATTTAATTGTAGTTTAAGATATTTTAAGACTAAATGCATAAAAGTAGTAATACTTAATGCATTATGAGTTGTTTTTAAGACTTTGTGCATAAATGTATAGTATTTTATGCATTAAATCTTATTTTTTAGACCTTTGATAAATTTGATTTATAAGTTAGATTAAAAAGAGAGAGATCGATAGCAGGGACTAACAATGTGATAGCTGATATGATCAATAGACAACGATGTGGCAATAAGGAGTGATACCATTGTTTGCGAGGTGTATGAAGGTGTAGGGTTTGGAAATTGCAAAACTAATTTAGGAATATTTTTTTGTTTTAAGACATTTTAGTTGGTTACAAGTAGGGTTTTTTCTGTGTTTGGTACAGTGGATATGACATGAAAGAACAAAACATGGATCATTGTTTCATGTTTGGCAGGACTTTTATTTAAGACAGACATGAACAGAATGGAACAAGTCTATTTCACCTCTATCCCATGAAACATGGTGGAACAAGCTGAAACATGTTTATATTTTGTCAATATAATTTTAAAATAAAACTTAATTTACCTCTAAAATATCAAATAGGTCTCAATTTTACATTTTATTCATTCTTTAACTTTTTTATTATATTTTATGTTTCTTAAACTTTTATTTTATTGTCCTTAAAACATTGTTTTTATACGGTTTTTATATTTTTATTAACTTATATTATTTAAACGATATAGAAAATGGATAAAATTGAAAAATTGAAAATTACAAAACCTTTTTATTTTGATGTCACTCTAATTGTTTTGACAAAAACTTTATAATAATATATTTTGTTATAAAAAATAATTATTTTATTTTAATTTAATAAATTACGTAAATTAATCAAATATACATAAACAACTCATTACGGATAAATTAGTCATTTTACATGTAGTTTTGTCTTATCAAACGTTGAACATTTGTTATGTCATGTCATGTCCTGCTCTGTCATATCATGTCAGAACACCAAACGCACCCTAAAAGGTGTTGGTAACCAATTTTTAAAAGTTCGATGGTTTATTTTATTAAAGAAAAAAATATCTAAGGATTTAATAAGTCAAAATAAGAAAGTTTAATGATTTTTCATTTAAAAGATAATTTAAAGACTTAATAATTCAAAGTAAAAAAGTTTAATATTCTTTCATTTAAAAACTATAATTTATGAAATTAATCATTCAAAATCGGATAATTTATTGAATTTTATAAAATTTTCCCTTTGTAAAACCAATTTTCCAAGAAGAAAATTATTATATGAAAAGTTATTAAAATCGTAGAAACTAATTTTCTAAAGCATCTTTCGACTACAACCACAATTTACACAAGTTTAATTCATTTTTTTTTCTACATTTATAATTAAAAACAATAAATAAAAATAGCAGATTTAACGTGTATTTGATTATGCATTTTAGAATCAAAGTGTTAGACACTACTCCTATTGATTTGAAGTTCACTTTATCTTTTGTTGCTGTGCTCTATTTATTATGGGTTATTTGGGATTGCTTATTTAAAATAAATTATGTTATTTTATAAAAACACTTATCAACTTATTATAAGTTATAAGGGTTTAATTTTTTCAAAAACTTCTTATTACCGGTATAAATTGTTTACCCAAATACTCAAAAGTGCTTATAATCGATGTCATATCAAAATAAGTAAATAAGTTGTTTTTATAAGCAATCCTAAACACCCCTATATATGGGATACTTTTTTGTCAAAAATCTTAACAAACCATAACTATTAATGCAGCATTGTTTAAAACCTATCTTCACGGTCACAAGGACTTTGGTAACCTTTTTTTACGAAGGAAAGGAAAATAAAGTGGAGGAAAGTAAAAAACTCGTGTCTTAAAATTTTTTAGGGAAAAAATGATAATTTTATAAGAAGGGCTTGAGTTGCTATATTAGCTTAATCGCAATCGGACAAGGAAAATCGGTTATTTTAGACCCAAACCCGTAAATAATCGGCTGAAACACATATCTTAAGAGCTCCATATTCATTTATATATGTAAAAGCTCGTACCCACTTCTAAACCCGGTTAACGATACAATCTCATATATATATATATAGGGTTGAGTTCACGTGAGACCAAGAATTTTTCGTGAGACCCGTAAGACCAATTTATGTTCATTGATCAATTTTATGAATTAATGATCTAATGGTTGCAAAGTTGCAAGGTGGCAATTTCGTAATTAGTGAGA